GAGGCTGTCTCCCAGAGCCTTCTTGTATTCCTACCACGATTGTGAGCAACGCTTTTTGTTTTAGTGGGTTTTGCATAGGTCGTATCAGGTGAACATACCTCCCACTCAGACTCGTACAAGAAATCCTCGGAGCGCTTTCTGCATCCGAAGAAGAGAAGCGTACGGCCGACAGTGGCGCCGTCCTGAGCTTGCTTGGCGCGTTCCTGGATGAAACCACGAAAAGGGGCGACGCCAGTGCCGGGGCCGACCATGATGACAGGCTTGCCAGGGTCCGAGGGTAGTTTGAAGTTGGAATGGCGAACATGTACGGGCACGTGGATGCCGTCAAACTTGTTGCGAGGGCCGTTGAGTGCATAAGTCTTACCGAAGGGAGATGGGTTGGGGTCGCCGTTCTGCTTTTGCTTCAGAGCAAACAGGTAGTTTGTAGCAACACCACGGAAAGGATCCTTCCTTGCGGGGATCATCTGCGACTCGATGACGGCGGTGATGGAGATCTTCTTGGGCTGGACAACAGAGGACGACGAGATGGAGTAGTATCTGGGCTGCAGCTTGTTCAGGCCCTCAATAAAGGCGGAGAAGGGGATGTTGGTCCACTTCTCGCCCTTGCCGACGGTATCCAAGAGTCGAGCAATGTTGTAGAAGTGCGGTCCAGTCTTGCTGTGAAAGTAGTCTTTGTCGCTTCCAAGTCTGGCCATCTCGGCCTTGACCTCGTCATTGGGAGCAAATGCAGCCAGGGTTGCGACAAACTGTCGCGAAACCGGTGCACAAATTTCCAGGTGGTATCGAACGATAGCGTCATAAGTGGTCGGAGTTGGAAAGGGAACCTTGGCGGTGGGCTCTAATGCCTTGACGCTGATAACATTGTTCCTCTTCTCTTTCAAGCCAATAATGTCAAGGAAACGGTCAACCTCATCGCCAGAATTGGTGGGCCAAATCGCAATGTGGTCACCAGTCTGGTAGGAGAGGTTAGAGCCACTGATGTCGACGTCCATGTGGATGCAGTTTCGATCCTTGGCGGAGAAGAGCTCCCGAGATTCCGCAATTGGCGCGATATAAGGATTGTGGGAGTTGAAGGGACCCTTGGCAGTACCTTCTAGGTGCATCTTATTCGGTTCGCCGAGGTTTACCTCGGGGGAGTCAACGGTCAGGTTCTCACGATCAACAATACCAAAGGTAGGCTCGTAGACAGCCTCGCGCTCCTCAAGGCCCATCTTTTCGGCGAGAGCAGCCCACATAGGATCTTTCCAAGCTAGGAAGTCTTCTTCCATGGTGCCAGCACCATCGTCACCCTCACCGGCTTTGCCGATGCGGTGAGCGCCGAGCTTCTGAAGGGCCTTGTCGACGTTGCGTACCATGGAATTGTAATGCTCGTAGGTGTTGTTGCCAAGACCGAAAGCGACATAATTGAGGTTCTGCAGCCCTGGATCGGTGCCCTCGGAGAAGCTGACGTCGTCACCAGTGATGAACTCGTAGAACTCGACGGCGTTGTCGGTGGGCTCTCCCTCGCCGTAGGTGGCCAAGATGAACATGACAATCTTATCGCTAGGCATAGCATCGAGGTTATCGAAGTCGTACTCTTCCAGATCGGCTACCATTGTCTCGAGGCCAAAGCGACTTTTGCCCTCCTTGGCGAGACGGGAGGCGTAATCTTCGGCGGTTCCGGTCTGAGATCCGTAGAAAATGACACAGTTTTTGCCAGTCTCGTCCATCTTCTCGATAATGTTGCGGGAGCGCCCGGCCTTTGCGCCATTGACATTGGCAAATGCATTGGCATAGGGGTCCTTGGTGATGCCCCAAAGAGTGCCCTTGGTGAAGTAGGCAAGCGTCCCGAGGAGGATGACGCCGAGGACGACGATGTCGAGGGTATCGAATTCAGCCATGATGGACCAAGACGGACGATGCAAGAGGGCGCCGACTAAAACGACAACGGCTAACCACTGCCACTCTGGAGGTCGCAAGGCGGGAGGGTGAAGAAGGGTCGACTCGAGGCAGAACGCAACAGAAAGGACAATGGAGAGAATGGGCGCAGGCAGGCTTTGAGACACCTGTGCAAATACGAGCGGTAGCGGACCAGTCGATCAGTTGCCGGCGGGATTTGGTGAAATTTGGAGGGGCGCCTTCAAGGTGTGACTGTCAACACGGAGTAATAAGGAAGGAGCACATCACATGTACTTGCCTAGTACCTCCTGTCTCCTGTAGGTACCCACCTAGGTATCAAGGAACGCGAATGTACTCCGTACTCCTTATGTCACTTGATTATACCGACTTAAGTGCCTACTTAACTTACTTAAATAAGTAGGTACAAGTACCTAAACGCGACAGTCAGCACCAGCAGACCAGACGGGACAGCTGTGATATTATTATCAAGGCATGGCAGCATTGAGGAGGGCCACTCGCCACTTTCACTCCCGCTTGCTCTACTCAAACTCCCCGTTCGCCGGCAGAGTTATTCCGAAAAGTGGGACCGGTCCGCGTCCACTTTGCTTCAATCCCGATCAGCTGATCTAGATGGCTGAATTGTTCCAGCGCTCCGTATTCGGGTTCTCCCATACGAACAGTAATAATAGTATTAATTTATTTGCGGAGGTCAGAGACCGAGGCCCAAGGCACCTGGCTCTATTGAAGATGTGTATTACTCCGTACGGCGGAGCACATGACAGCCTCGCACGTACTCCGTGCCTCGTAGTCAAGTAAACGCTCCGCCTCCCGGGCGCCCCTGTTCATTGCACGGATTGGAGCACGAAGTCTGGTAACTGGTTAATAGAGCTCCGTCCCAAGGAAACGGCGGCAATAGTAAACTGGCGATATGTTGTTGTTGCCTAGCAATTGACTTTCTGCCTTCCGCACTGAGAAAACTTGATGTTGTCCCGATGATTCCGATGTGCTTAACGCCGAGTCTATGTGGGTCCATATCTGAGGCGCAGGCGTACCGTTCCTGCAAAAACTGGCCTCCAACAATAAAGAAGAGTTGACGCATGTAGTCGTGACTTGTGAGGCGACGACTAGCAACTAAGTAGGTACCCCCCTACATTTTTGGTTGTCTGCATTACAAGTACTTAAGTACTTACTTAAGTACTTGACTATGCGCTTTTTTTTTAGTAACCTCAGAGTACTTGCCCTTTATTAAATCGTTACACAAAATCAAGCAGAGGCGGGAAGTCCCCTGTCACGGAAAGCTTCGACCAACAGCCAAGTCCACCTCCACACGGAGAAGTCATCGCTCTCCTGGTGGGAACATGATTCTGCGCCTGACGGAATTGTGGCTCTTGTTCCGACGACCGGCGGAGCATGGCACCACGGTGAAGTTTCCGGTAAAATAGGTCAATGATCAGTGACTTGTCGCAGGGCGGTAGAGTAGAATGTTTCGTTTGATCCTGCGTGTTCACATACAATCATCACGTGGTGTCCTTCAACCTCGCCGTGCTCAATTAAAAAACCATAGATGGCCTGCGGAGTAACATCGGCATGAGCAGAGCGGCTCGTGACGCAACACCAGACACCAGACACCTTTATTTTTTTTAAAAAAAAAATCGCGAAAAAAAAGAGTTCCAGCAATCCTCAAGCAAGTCTACACAAGGTGACCTGTCGCTGGCCCTCAGCCCAAAGTCCAAGCGTCAAAAGGCAGCAACAACGCATTGACGCATGTTCCAACGTCCGCAGTGCGTCCTCTAACGGCCTTCGTTGCGTCAGCTCGAGCTCGGCTATCGTCTGGTCTGGTCGATTCGAACGACGAGGGTGGCAAGCGCTGCCTGGCTCCGTGGGGCCAACCAACTCTCGAACATGGCAGGGAGATCGTGAGTGAGTGTGGCGTTTCAAATGTCAGGCCGAGCGAGCCAGCTTTAGAAGGGGCCATCAGGAGGGACATGCAACTTTCAAGCACCTGGATTCCCGGACCATTGCACCAGCAGCACAGAGCGTCATTGACGAGAGCACACTCCAGTCAGCCAGCACCGTTGCGATCAACTGTGTTCATTCCTCCTCGTGTGTGGACCAAGTAACTACCTCACACAGTATGTACGGAGTAAGATGTACTGCCTGGTAGGTAGGGAACTTCTTAAAGTATGCAGGTAGTAGTACCTACTTAAGTACCTAGGTACCTACTCAAGGTAAGGTGCAGTCGGCAATCAGTACCCGTGCCGTCTGGGGTTATTTTTTCTTTCCGTCTTTGACCATCCATGCGCGAGTTGCGCTCAACCACGTTTACGGAAGCAATTGGGCCTCCTTTCCCCTCGTTCAAACTCTTCATGCTGCTTGTTGGATGTTGGACGTCGAGTAACCGGTCCCCTTCTCGACTGCCATGCTCTGTTACTAGCCACGCCTGCCCGGCGCTAGAGCTTTAGGGAATTGGGCCGTCGTCTGATTTGAGATGGGTGAGTCGTTTCTCATCGTCGTATAATTCAGAGGTTTCCTCGTCATTCACCACTCTCCGCGCTCTCCAATGACAAATGACAAGACGAACATCGCATGTAATTCACATCCTGCTGTCGTGTGCCGCCATGATCCAACATGCACCAAGTGCATCCGTCGTCGTCATGGTGTTCGTCTTTGTTCTGCCTCCCTCTTGTTACACTTCGCCCTGCCCTCGGCTGTCTCACGAGTGCAAGAGACAAGGGTTCCACTGCTAACACCGACATGATTGCCCTCTAGCCCCCTCGCAAGCTCTCCCCGACAATGCACATGACCAGCTGAAACCATCCGCACGGTCTGGCGCGAGACTCGAAGACGAATCCGATCACGGTCCATTTTGGGACCAGACGATACGACCAACCACCTTCACAACCCCGACGCGACGCTCAACCCACTCACGCGAGTCCTCTGGCGATAAGACGGTACACTCTCCATCTGCCGTAGCTTCACCTCGGGGACACACCCAGCGACAAGGCCTCTGCGGCGCCGTGGAACGACCGGTAGACCATAGCAAGACCGCTGTGTACGGACACCACCGACAGACTTCCATCGTCCATGGCTTCCAACACTCAAGAAATGGGAGTCACTCAAGCATGTCTGCCAGCCCGTTGAGTCCTCAAATCATAGCGGCTGCTGGAGTGGCACTGGAAAGATCAGACATGCAGTCAGTCACTGCGCGACTCGAGGCCAACATGCCCTCCCGGCCGGGGACGTCTCTAGCTGGTCCTACCCTCGGCCCAGTGGGAGCTTCGCCGATGGAAAGATCTGCGTCTGCTGTCGATACATCTTCTTCTGCGCCAGCACAGAGGAAACCAGAGCGAATGCAGAGCAAGTCGAGGCGCGACCACCCGGCACACCAATCTCACTCTCGAACCCATCGAGACGACCAGAAGACCGTCGGAGAGTATGCACTTCACGTTCTATTCACATCAGTAAGCGACAGTCCAGGGCCATGGTCTCGCTTCACGTGTCTGACATACTCTGACATGAATCTAGTTTATTGCACAAGCAGAAGACAAACTCACGGAATGCATCACGGTCCCCTTTGACCCCGAACCGAACATCGACCGTGTTTGCGGACCCGGCGTTGACCCTGCGTTTGATCAGTTGATTGTCGCCTTGGGGCACATTGCCAGTCCGAAGCCCAAGGCACTGATCGACTCAATGATGCTCTGGAGGAAGAGCAAGAGTGACGCGGCCAACGAGGCCCGAACCCAGCTCCAGCAGCTACGCGGCAACCAGCCCGGAGGTCTCCTACTTCGCAGGAATACAGAGCCATTACAACCCGGCCCTGGGGCGGGTGTAGCAGAATCGACAAGTCCCACAACCCTGACATTGTCTGGAAAACAGGAGTTTGTTGCCCAGCAGGAGCGCCGGTCCACTGTGTCGATTTACATTCTTTGCCGTGTGCTACTGGAGGTCATTTGCCAGAGCAACCTGGCTTCCATCACCACGGAAATGGAAGACAAATTGGAAAGCATCATCTTCGGACAGCTCAAGATTGCAGACCCTGAGCAACTTATGCTTTCGCCTCTAAAATTGGCTAACTGGAACTTGTTTGCGCAACTGCTGGGACATATGAGCGGAATCAACTTTTCCGGGGTGTCGCGAAGATTCATCGATGACCTCGACGCCTCGCTGCAAGAAAGACTATTAAAGAGCCCAACGTTGTCAGCAGGCCGAGACTTCGAGGGCAAGATGGAACTAGTCTTGGGTGGCATGAAGCATCTGAAAATCAAAATCTCTCCAGAGTCTGCTTGGGAAAAGTCGTGCGAATCTCTGGTTTTGCTAGGGCGTTTGTTTGCCAAAGCCCACGGGCAGCGGGTGAAGGCAGCGTTTTGCCAGGTGATGGATATGTTGCTGCTGCCTATTGCCGCAAAGGCCAGCAACAGCCATCTCATGCATCCAAAATGGTCCGAAGTCGTATCCAACATTAGCTTTCGACTTGCTCAGCTTTTCGCAAAGCCGCGGCACTGGTCTGTTGCATTTCCTTTGACCGCGACGTTACTTTGCGTGTCATCACCTGACAACTTTGGTTCCGGGTGGTCGCAATTGGTCCTCTCCCTGCAGACTAAGATTAAAGATCGATTCACAAGACCTCTGTGTTTGCAGGTCATCTCTAGGTTGATCTGGACGTACTTGTACCGGACCAACGACAACTTTCAAACTACCGTGCGGAAACTTGATGATGTCATGAGATTGGTCTTGCCGCCTTCAAAGCGCAGCATAGTCTCTTCGGATACTGTCGTCATCGAACCGTTGATCCAGATAATCAGAATTATTGGCTTCAAGTATCCCGAGTACTGTTTCAGGACTGTGGTGTTTCCCCTCATCAATGCCGAACTGTTTACGACCAACAAGGAGCTGCGAGTCGAACAGTTGGATCCTGACAGAATCGTCGTTGGAATCCGGGCATTCCTGTGCATCATGTCAGATCTAGAAAAGGGCGAACAGGGCCGACCCCCCTTCCCACAATTTTATGATGTTCCAGCCCCAGCGGACAGACTCCCTACATCCCCAGTGCTGTCGTTTCCGCAGAAGGGCCCCCTGTCGACTCCGAGTTCGGGCCCAAAAGAGGAGATTATATCCAGACCGGTATTGACCCATGTCCTTAGCGACGGGGTAAGAGAGCATTACCTTCAGTTCTGTCAACTCCTTGGCAAAATCACCATTGTTTGTGACAACACCTTTGGGGGCCAAGCAGCGTTGGACGAAAAATTCAACAGCCCCGGGCCAAAAACCCCTATTTCGGAATCTTTCACTTTCTCTCGACGAGATGAGCAAGCAAATGCGTCCGACCAGAAGCAAGCATTCTACGAGCTGCTGCATGTCGCTGTTCGAGCACTCCCAAGATGTCTATCTGTTGACATTCCTTTCAACTCGTTGATAAATCTGCTCTGCACAGGCACTGCTCATGTGCAGTCCAACATTGCTGAGTCATCTGCAAATTCGCTGAAGGCGATTGCCAAGCAATCTCACGCACAGCAAGTGACCATGGGGTTTGCTCGTTTCATCTTCAACTTTGATGACCGTTACGCCACAATGTCCGACGGTGGCATGCTTGGCCCTGGTCACATCGAAAGCACTTTGCGACTTTACGTTGAGCTGCTCCAGATCTGGATCGAGGAAATCCGACACAAGTCACGAGAAGCAGCCTCGGACCAGCCAGATTCAAACGCATCCGAGAAAAGAGCTATGAAGCTTGACTTATCGAGCATATGGGCAGAAGTTGATCAGGCCGAAGCACATGGCTTGTTCTTCCTATGTTCACAATCTCGCCGCGTCAGGCACTTCGCAATCACCGTGCTGCGCTCAATCACCGAGTTCGACAAGGCACTAGGCAAAGATGCTTCTGAAGAGAAGGAGACGCTGCGATTAATCAACATTTTGGAAAACGATTCCAACCAAGTGATGAATTTCAACGACGAGCATCTTTCTGTGGCCGAGCGTAGCAGACTGCAGAGAGGACTACAAAACGCCAACAGCAAATGTGCAGTGGTAGAGTTATGCACGAGCGATGTCTTCTACGATGCGACCCTTTGGTTCAAAATTTTCCCTAATCTCATCCGCATTGCATTCGACAAATGCCCTTTTGCGGTAACAATATGTCGAGACTTGATCTGTAATCGGATACTGCAAATGTACAAGCCAATTGTGTACCTGTCGGAGCCAACCAGGGGATTGTACTACGGCCCGGATGCGGCGAGCCGAATGGGCAACCGGTCCCCTGCGGCACAGCCCGAGGTTATGATTGAGCAATGGAAGCTGTATTTGATATTCGCATGCACGACGCTGGCGGACCCGGGAAGTTTACCCGTGGCCCAGACGCCACCCGATGGCCAGCATGCGCGCAAAACGTCGAAGCCCTCGTCCGCGGACAGGATAGTCACCGCCAGAACTTTGTTCAAGTATTTGATTCCGCTCTTGTCCGTTTCGTCCACATCTGTCCGCGATGCAGTCGTGGTTGCCATGGGCTCAATCAATATTCACATCTATCGAACACTATTGGAAGAGCTGCAAGGCCAGGTCTCTCGCTGCAACGACGAGGCTAGAGCAAGGATTCATCAACGAACGAACAGCAGCCCCCGTCGCAACAGGAAAATGGATCTGCTGCGGACCGAGATCACTCACGTTTTCAAATTGACGTCACACTTCTTGAAGGATTCACTGGTGTACCAATCTGAATTCTTCCTGAACAATTTGACTTCGTATGCAAAAGATCTGAAGTTGTTTCTCATGGATGGTGAGGTTCAAATGGACTGGGAGTTCCAAAAACTGAGACGTTATTATTGTGGTCTCATGGAGGCTCTGTTCGAAGGCATTAACAAAACGGGCGATCCCTCTCGCTGGATGACTTTTGAGTCCAGAAAGTCAGCATTCTCGTTGATGGAAGACTGGTGTGGCTTCTCCCCCAATCAGAATCAAATACGAGTCAGGGAAGATACAATGAGGCAATCCCTGATCGACCAGCAGTCGCTCGGTGAACGGGGAACCGTCACAGCTGCCATGGAGATCGAAAAGAGAAACCTTCGGACAGCAGCTCTGAGCGCCATGGCAGCGCTTTGTGGGGGGCCGATAAGCATCACCACCGAGAGTGGCGTCACGCTGCAGTTTGACGTGCGCCGTATGTTGGCTTGGATAGAGGCCATTTTCAACTCGGGAAGCGACCGAATGAACGTCACAGGCCAGCGTGCCTTGAAGAATCTCGTCACTCATAACCAAGAATACCCTTACCTCCTAGAGCATTGCATCGCCCGCTGTTACGTGGCCGACGTGCCAAAGGTGCTGGAGAGCTATTTTCAAGTCACCATTGAAGTTTTGCAAGAACAAACCAACTATCCGTGCCCCTTCTTCAAGCTTCTTGCTCTTTGCCTTTTCACTCTTGGAAATGACCAGAGCGAGATACGATCCAAGTCTTCGACGGTTCTTCGATCACTTGAAGTACGCCAGCAGCGCAACTCCAAAATTCAAGACTTTGACATCAGCATATCTGACAAAACACAAGCTGTCTACAAGTTAGCACAGTTTGAAATATCTAAACGGCTCTCTAAACAATACCCCGAACTGGCCTTCCACGTGTTTTCGGAGTTTACCTCTTGTTTCAAAGATCTTCAACCTGCTGCCCAAAGAAATGTCATTGCTGTGATACTACCATGGATACAGACAATGGAATTGAAACTTGATCCCAATGGCGGCCCTACTGCACAGTCCTATGTCCTTCTGGCAAACCTCCTGGAACTCACTATCAAGTCAGGCGGAGCCTTGCACAACGAAGTTCAGGCCTTGTGGCAGGCTCTTGCCACCGGGCCACACCCAGGAAACGTGCGTCTCATCTTGGACTTCATCATTCACCTCTGTCTTGAACGACGAGAGCAAAACTTTGTGGAATATGTGAAACAGATTGTCGTGTTTTTGTCGACAACAAACAGCACACCGGGGATCAAAGTGGTCGAATTTCTGCTGATGCAGATCAATCCCAAGGCCATGGTGCCAAACGAGAGACGAGACTCGATGCCTGCGCCCCCTGATGTCAACAGCTTCCCCTACTGTGCGGATCTCAATGAAGCATTGCCGGTTGGGGAAAAACAAGCTGGGTTCTCGCTCGGTCAACTGTCGCTCATCTTGCTGGTGGACTTGATGGTGTCTCCCGTTCATCTCACGCCTGAAAATGTTCCCCTTCTGCTCCAGGGAGTTACTGTTCTGTGGGATCACTATACTCCCCTTGTGCAAGAGCAAGCCAGGGAGATGTTGGTTCATTTGATTCATGAACTAGTCATTTCTCGAATGGACGATGTTTCGGTTGACGTCAAAAAGGAGACTATTGAAGACTTGGTTGACGCAATTCGTCGACATGACCGTACGGTTGTATGGGGGTACGAGGATAGCAACGGGAAGGTGGATGACCACGACAATAAAGTCCCTCCAAGCATGGAATACCTCACCACAGAGGTAGTCAAGACGTTTCAAGTCACCTTTCCAGCAATCAAGGAGCAATGGGGACGGCTGTCTCTCACGTGGGCTACGTCTTGTCCCGTGAGACACCTGGCCTGTCGGTCTTTCCAGGTCTTTCGATGTGTATTGACGTCTATCGACCAGTATATGCTCGGCGACATGCTTGCTCGGCTGTCAAACACTATTGCGGACGAAGACCCCGAGATTCAGTCCTTCTCCATGGAGATTTTGACCACGTTGAAAACCTTGCTGGTGAAGTTGGATTCCGAGAAGCTTTTAACATTCCCGCAACTGTTCTGGACGGCATGTGCCTGTTTGGAATCTATCAATGAACGGGAATTCCTCGAAGCAGTTGAGATGTTAAACGAGCTTGTTAGCAAACTTGACTTTAGATCACCAAATGTGCGAAGGATCCTTGCAGACGGCCAACCTGAACGTTGGGACGGCCAATTTGACGGCATCCAGCCCTTGCTTTATAAAGGTCTCCGCTCCTCTTTGTGCTGGCAACCGACTCTAGACACGATTGACAAACTCGTCAAGCTTCCTGGAGACCCCCTGGTCGGAGATGATAGCAGACTGTTTTTCGCTTTGCTGGCAAACTTCCCCCGCTTCTTGAACGAGTTGGAAAATGCGACGCCAACAGAAAAAACAGTGAAAACGGCGAAGCTACTTCTAGTCGAGGCCGATAGGCTTGGTCTCGAATCTGTCGCACTGGCCCTCGATGACTACGTTTCCAGGAGACAAGTGGACAGTGGCGAATACATGACTCAGCTTTTCATGGCCTTGCGAGAGCATTTCTTACCGCAGCAAGAGTTCAAGATGATCACGTTCTTGATCGGGCTATTGACAAACTCGCTGTCCTGGGTCAAAGTGCAAACTATGCGAATATTGTGTGTTGCCATCCCAGAAGTTGATATGCGCAATCCAGAACTCGCAGGCCACGGCTCCGATCTCATCTCTCCTCTGTTGCGGCTTCTTCAAACAGAATTTTGCATGGGCGCACTGGAGGTCTTGGACAAAATCATGACCATGTCGGGCAGTCACATGGATAAGCACCATCTAAGAATGAGTATGACTCGATCAACCTCGAAAGCTGTTCGGAAAGAATACGAGCGGACCCAGAGTTTGTTTGGTATCCCGGAGTCTTCGGGCTGGGCCATCCCGGTGCCCGCGAAAAGGACGGAAGCAACACGGGCGAACATCCATTCTGCGTTTTACATGTGTCAAAGCACGGAAGGCTCGTCTACTGAGGCCACGCCAACTGCGGAAGTCGCGTTTCACGAAGACGACTTTCCATACGGCTATTTCGACTCTGCGGAGAGAACAGAGACAATGCTCTCGGACGACGGTCGCGTTGAGGTTCCTGTCGGAGATTTGGTCACCAAGCTGGACAGCCTGGATGACTTCTTCGACGAGCCTCACAGCCCTACCACCGACGATGATGGAAGGTCGTCTCGCACCGTGACGGAGTTTTCGCCGGAATCGTTTGAATCAGGCACTGAGCTTTACGACGAGCATATCTTGCCTATTCTTCACGAGGCGTCAAATACGACGGCTTTTCAAAACGGATTCATTGATCGTCCCTTGGGTATGTCGAGAGATTTGGCGACAAACACGATGAACCCCGGGGCGTTCACGGCGGGAATGTCATCGAGACCAACGCTCCATTCGAGGTCCATAACGTCGCCGTCTGCTCCAGCGTCATACCAACCACACGTGGCTGGTGAAATGGGATCTGACGACGAATCCTTCTCTGCCGGGTTTTCTGACCAAGATGACGAAAATTCCGATGCAAGAAGTCGTGTCGAATCTCCCATCCCAGGCTCACGGCCTACAATGAGACGAGTGGGCAACGGATCTCGCGATGAAACCCTACGCCAACACACGCTTCTGCAAGTAACGCCCAGGATGCCAAACAAGGCCTTTACACCAAACATGACAAGCTCAGGCGAGATTCTTGAGGGACGTAACAAAGACGAGTGTCGTGCAAATTGGATGGTGTGATGACATGTACGCGGGGAACATTGAAGAGAATTGATAATATCCCAAGTCAGGAAACATTTGGTGGCCGGGACTTTCTACGATTGTAATATCTACGATGAAGGTTGCGGTTGGATAGAGACTCGACAAGAAGAAAAATGGACGAGGCGTTTGAGCGTACCTTTGGCCGTCTCTAGTATATGGGCATGGCGTCTAGCATGTAATATTTGCTTTTACTTTTTCATTTCTTTATTTCATACAGTATTATATTTTCCCCATGATATTAGCGTAAATAAGGACAAAGGCGTCTTGGTGGGGACCAACCCCGTGATTCCCCGAGAACGGGTTTCAAAAAGCAACGTACATTTTCATCCTGGTATAATGAGCAACCGCCCCCGCCATGTGTTTTGCCTGGGTAAATGAATAGGATGGCGATGTCTAGTATCGGTGGCGCGTGGAGTAGTCTGCCACGCATGGCCCGTCAGTCTGTGCGCGCGACGAAAGAATCATAAAAGCAAGGGAAAAGATGCCAACCTACCCTTTGGACTGTTTACTTGACCTTTGCCTTTGGTAGCGCCCCGGTACACGGCCTCCAGGATGTTGATGACGTCCTGTCTGTTGCGCTCCACGAAATTCATCTTGTTGTTGTTACCTGTGCCGAAATCGCACATGATGTGCTTGTTTCTGAAGAAGAACATGACCGCAAACGGTTCCTCGTTGGTGTTTAGTTCTGTCCATCGCTGTCAGCTGGGCGGGACGTAGAACGGGCAAGGGACGGGCTGGCGAAGAATGGGAAAACCATACCGTACATGTGGTTGAAGTCGGGGACTTTTGAGATGTCGCACACGTAGATTACGGCCCATTTCTGGACCATGGGCGCGACTTTGGAGAGGACTTCGTCCATGATGTCGAGGTCCGGGTTGTTGGTTGGGTCGCCGAAGCGGATGACGACGAGGCGGTTGTCCTCGCTGAGGATGGCTTGGTCGACGTGCCAGCCCGTGACGAGGTGGGGGAGAAGAATGGTTCCCATGATGACGGTCGGTTGCGGGGAGGTCTTCTCTCCTGTGTATTGAGGGCTGTGGCTTTCTGGATTAAATTTTAGATTATTTTCTTATTTTCCAAAACACTCGCTGGAGGTTCGAAGCTCGCGGGTTGGCGGCGCATCGCGGGGCAGGCACGTGTGGGCGGGTGGGTCCTCGATACTATAATATGTAGTTAACTATTTAGTTACATAACTCACATTATGCATGCGTGGGCTACGACCCTCGATTGGCTTTCTGCATCCCTTCCCGACAGCGTCGGTGTCGACGTCAGATTTGCCTGTTCCCAGTCGCAGCACTTGCATCGCAGGATGGCGGTGAGGATGCCGTGGCGTTGAAATGCTGGCCGCAGTACGCGCACTGGTGCGGCCGCGGCGGCAAATCGCTCTAGTCTCGCGCCTTGAACGCGCGCCGCCTCAGTCGTCACGATGGCTCACCAAGAGCGCGGCCGAGGATTCGCAAGCACCAAAATTAAAGTACCCCGATCCCCCGACAACCAATCACTCGGATCTCGGTACCTTCAGGGCCTACGCCCGTCGGACGGGCCTGGACGAAAAGTCTACCGTCTATGTCGGCACCCACTACGAATACAAAGTATCTGGTGCCCTCTCCAGGTACGGCTTCTTCTTGAAACGGATTGGCGGCTCGTCAGACCACGGCACAGACTTGGTAGGGACGTGGACGCTTCCATCGTCGTCGTCGTCGTCATCTCGTACGGCGCCGTTCAAGGTTCTCGTGCAGTGCAAAGCTGGCACCCAGCGCGTCGGTCCGCAGCACATACGAGAACTAGAAGGCGCCTTTGTCGGCGCACCTGTTGGATGGAGAGGAACGGGAGTCTTGGGCCTGCTCGCGTGTGAGCGGGCCGCGACTAGGGGGGTTCGCGACTCGCTGGGGAGAAGCAAGTGGCCCATGGTGTACATTTGCTGCTCGAAAGAGGGCGTCGTGTCACAGATGATCTGGAATCAGTGCGTCGAGGAGCTGGGTCTTGATGGGTATGGAGTCTCTGTGAGGCGTGGCGACGACCGAGATGAGTTGGTGATGATGCACAACGGCGCCGTGGTGCCCTTTTTTGTCCGAGGACAAGTAAATATGGCTGGGGTCGAGATGTAACGTATATCACAACAGCCACGGTAAATACCATGTATTCGTCACGGCAACCCGAAGCTTTCCGAGCTGTGCCAAAATAACAATCCACTTGGCCTGGTGTTGATGCCAGCAGTGCGGATGTATAAAGTTTATCGCAGCCTAACAACAGGTTCGTGACTTTGGATCCTTGCATGACTCGTTCAATCCTCCCAAACAGCGGCTTTGGCCTTGTCTGCTTCCTGTTCCTTCCGGTGCTCCTCCTCCCGCTCTTGTTCCTTTCTCTTCCTCTCTTGCTCTCGAGTAGATTTCTGATAGGCCTTCTGCTCCTCCGTCTGCTTGGGAGCCTTCATGCCCAAGCCGGCGGCGATCATACGTCGGGCCACGGCGTCAGTTTTCTCCGGCCTCTTACTCGCAGCCGCCCCGTGGGAGGAGGCGTTTCCAGGGGCTGCAGCATCGTCCCATCCCGGAACAGATGCGTAATTTGCTGCGTATGGGGTTGGCGGTGGTGGCGACGGCACCCTTGGGCTCACCACCGAGGGCTTGATCTCGGTCTCAGATCCGGATGACTCGTCATTGTCTTCGTCTTCCCACGAGTCTGCGACTGCAGCCTTCTTTTTCAGCTTTGAAGAAGCCCTTTTGTGGCTTGTTGACGTGTCTAGGGTTAGGCTTGACGGAGACTCGGTCACCGTGTCTTTCTTGTCGGATGGGGAGGACATGGCGGTTGAAGTGGCAGATGAGAGAACGGTGAATGGTCTCAGTGCGGGCATCTACTTACTCGCCCAATGTATCAGTCTATACGAATGTAGGTGGCGGTTAAGCCACACAGCGAGCCAGACCTTGGTTGAGAACGATGCCTGCTTCCTGGCAAACTCCCCGACTCAATTGACCGACCTCACCCCGCATGGAGACCGCTTTGACCAGCGGCGATGAAAATTGGACATGTAACCGCTCAGACATTGCGAGCGTGTTGATATTCGTCCACGGTAAATATACGAGAGGATATTTGGGCCCTGATTTTGCTTTCTTTCTTTTCTTCTCAAAAAAAATTAATTTAAAGCCGTGCCCGCCTTGGGCCTGTATGGCCTCCGAATGCTGCACTACAGGGTAAGTCAGTGATGCGCCCCTCATCCTTATGTATTTAACCGGATTATCGTCCAAAACGATGGGACAAGCTTGATGGAACGGCTCGGTGGACAAGTTGCCGGGGATCTGCCGACTGAAGCTCCCAGCACCATGAATTTTTGGGTCAAACGTCGTGCCGCCGGCGTCGCCCGCCATCGTCATTATCAAGATAATTTCACACTCGCCCCTGTCCGTCGCAGCGCGCAATGTGCAAGGTCACCTTCATGACAGAGAGCATGAAAAGTTGGTCGTCATAGAATCTGTCCCCGGTCTCTCAGTCATCAATTCCCTCTGCAGCACCCCAATTCTGGACGAAACCCTCATCCCCCCGGTATTGCCCATTGGACCCAGCTCGTACATCCGAGCTTGGTGATTGCTCGAAAGGAGCCCCCAGTCGCTCACTATGATTCACCGGTCTCGCCTGTGTGGGCGGCTCATTCTCGAGCGATCTGCGGCGCACGCTTCTCGAACGTCTACTTCGTCAATATCGCCAAGGTGGCCTTTGTCACCTGTCTGCCAAGGTCGTCATATCTGCCGATCCGCCCTGCCCGGCATTCGACCCTTGGTTGGAGCGGCATTTTCCACGGCTGCGAGATTGAGCAAAAAGGACGACAAGAGCCACAAGGACGACTTTTTCGACTCCTCGGCCGAGACGCTAACCCAGCCGCTGTCGGAAGAAGAGGTCAAGGCAAACTCGGAGAACAAGAAGAAAGAGGCAGAGAGAGCTGCGGCAGAAGCCAAGTCGGACGCTTCAGGAGCAAAATCTGACGCTGGCAGTAAATCACAAGATGGAAAGTCCAGTGGCGCGGCGGGAAGCTCGGCAACGGGCGGTTCAGGCTCGGGAGGGGATAGCGCCGGAGGCGATGGTAGCAAGAGGGGGAGGAAATCTTCGGAAAAAGCTCTGCAGAAACCTGTTGTGCCGGAAGTCTATCCGCAAGTCCTCGCTATCCCCATTGCGCGACGGCCGCTATTTCCCGGATTCTACAAGGCCATCACGATCAAGGATCCCAACGTCGCCTCAGCCATCACGGAGTCTATCAAGCGCGGGCAGCCATATGTCGGCGCTTTCTTGTTCAAGAGCGAGAACGAGGACGAGGACATTATTCGCAACGCTGAAGATGTTCACGACGTCGGCGTTTTCGCCCAGATCACCAGCGCATTTCCCATCCACGGACAAGAGGGCGCCTTGACGGCGATTCTCTATCCCCACCGCCGGATCAAGCTCTCCAGTCTGGTCCCGCCTAGTGCGGCTGAAAAAGCCGACGGTAAACAGGAGCCCGACACCCCAGAAGTCATTCCACAGCAGACGCCTGTGGAGGAAGAACCACAACAGGAGAAGAAAGGCGATGTTGTGGCCAGCTTTGAAGAAGGAGCCATCGAGAAGAAACCAGATCAGGTCGCTGAGAGATACGAGCCAACGTCGTGGTTGAAAAGATGGCCTGTGAGTCTTGTCAACGTGGACAACCTTGCCGACGAACCTTACGATCCCAAAAGCCCCGTCATCCGCGCCGTGACCAACGAAATAGTCAACGTTTTCAAGGAGGTTGCTACTATGAATAACCTCTTCCGTGACCAAATTTCAACCTTTTCAATGAGTCAATCTACTGGGAATGTCACCTCAGAGCCTGGAAAACTTGCCGACTTTGCGGCTGCTGTGTCATCCGGGGAACAGAATGAATTACAAGATGTACTCTCCTGCATGAACGTCGAGGAGCGAATGCAGAAGGCCCTTATCGTCCTCAAGAAGGAACTCATGAATGCCCAACTGCAGTCTAAAATTACCAAGGACGTTGAGAGCAAAATCAGCAAGCGTCAGCGAGAGTATTGGCTTATGGAGCAGATGAAGGGCATTCGCCGCGAGCTGGGCCTGGAATCCGACGGCAAAGACAAGCTGGTTGAAAAATTCAAGGAGAAGGCAGCCAACCTGGCCATGCCTGACCCTGTTCGTAAGGTGTTTGATGAGGAGATAAACAAACTGGCCCACCTGGAGACTGCCGCGTCGGAATTCAACGTTACGCGAAATTACCTCGATTGGCTTACTCAGATTCCCTGGGGACGCAGAAGTCCGGAGAACTTTGGCATTCCGAATGCGAAGAAGGTCCTGGATGAAGATCACTACGGCTTGCAGGATGTCAAGGATCGAATTCTCGAGTTCATCGCTGTGGGGAAACTGCGTGGCACGGTAGAAGGCAAGATCCTCTGTTTCGTCGGTCCTCCTGGTGTTGGCAAGACGAGCATCGGAAAGTCTATTGCCCGAGCTCTCAACAGGGAATACTACCGATTCAGTGTCGGCGGCCTGACTGATGTGGCTGAAATCAAAGGCCACCGACGTACATACGTCGGTGCCCTACCCGGCCGTATCATCCAAGCCTTGAAGAAATGCCAAACAGAGAACCCGCTCATTCTGATCGATGAAGTCGACAAGATTGGGCGAGGTTATCAGGGAGACCCGTCTTCAGCCCTTCTGGAATTACTCGATCCCGAACAGAACAGCTCCTTCTTGGATCACTACATGGACGTCCCCGTGGATCTATCCAAGGTCCTCTTTGTCTGCACAGCCAACATGACGGACACGATCCCACGACCTCTCCTCGACCGCATGGAGTTGATCACGCTCTCGGGTTATGTTGCGGATGAGAAAAAGGCCATTGCCAACACGTACCTCGCGCCGGCAGCCAAGGACGCGGCAGGCCTGAAGAACGCCAACGTGAACCTAACCGACGAGGCAATCGAAGAGCTCATAAAGTCGTACTGCCGTGAATCCGGAGTCCGTAACCTCAAGAAGCAGATCGAGAAGGTCTACAGGAAGTCTGCCTTGAAGATCGTCCAGGACCTGGGAGAAGATGTTCTCCCCGAACAGGATGCCTTGACCGACGAAGGCAAAGCCGCATTGGAAGAGAGCCAGAAGCAGACCGAGGAGAAGGCTGCGGCCAATGACGACGCAAAGCCGGACGAAGGGCGGGCCGCCACCGAGGCCAAGACGGCTGAAAAGCCGAGGAAAGCACTGCAGGTTCCCGATTCGGTGGACGTCCAGATCGGAAAGGACAACCTGGTGGACTACATCGGCCCTCCGGTCTTTACGTCGGACCGCTTGTACGAGGTAAGCCCGGCCGGCGTCTCGATGGGCCTGGCGTGGACGCAAATGGGCGGCGCAGCCATGTACATTGAGTCCATTCTACAAGCGCCCCTGCGAGCCAGCGCGAGGCCGTATCTGGAAATCACGGGCAACTTGAAATCTGTCATGAAGGAGTCAACAACCATTGCCTACTCGTTCGCCAAGTCCTTCATGGTCAAGCAGTTCCCCGAGAACAACTTCTTCGACAAGGCCAAGATGCATCTCCACGTCCCGGACGGCGCCGTGCCCAAAGACGGGCCGTCTGCCGGAATCACCATGGCCACATCCCTTCTCTCCCTGGCTCTCGATACGCCCGTCGACCCTACCGTTGCCATGACCGGTGAACTCACCCTGACAGGAAAAGTCCTGCGCATCGGCGGACTGCGGGAAAAGACCGTGGCAGCTCGTCGAGCGGGCTGCAGAACAATCATCTTCCCCAAGGACAACATGTCGGACTGGCTGGAGTTGCCTCAGGTACGTTGCTATTCCCATGGTCACTATTCCCTTGTCAGTCCGACACCGGGCCTAACGAACAACAGAACATCAAGGAAGGCATACAAGGCCACGCCGTAGGATGGTACAACGAAGTATTCGATCTCGTCTTTCAGGGCCTCGACCGCCAACAGGCCAACAAGAGCAAGGTCCAAGACGTCAAGAAGGTCGGCGAAAACTCTGGAGAGGAGGAGGAACAGTTGCATGAATGAATTGGCACTTTGCGCCGGTGTACACTGTCTATATTCCTAAACGTGGATACCTTGGTACGTGCATCATGGAAGACGGCAGCATACGTTTGGGGCGTTATGATTTTTTTCCTTCTCCTTCTCCTTCTCTTTTCTTTTAGACACGGGCTTGGTGCATGCGATTCTCCTACTCTGTGTACATTCGTCTTGGACAATCTTTGTATTTGTAGAACCTTAGACTGAAGGCTCGCGGGTGGTGGTGGATGTGGTCACATTGACTGATGAATATTACACTACATCAAGATACGCAGCTCCGTTCACACAGGTTGTGGTAGGAAATAACTTTTGGTATTGCAGTCATGGATTTGATGGAGGAGCTTGCGGTGGAACGTCGCCTCCGGTCTCTTGAGTCGGTCGGGGGGGGGGGACGACAAGCGGGCAAGCGGGCAAGCGGGCAAGCGGCAAGCGGCAAGCGGTAAGCGGTAAGCGGGAAGCGGGACGAGCCTTGTGGATCTCGTTTTCCCCAGTTTGGCTACTCCGTACTCCGTAAGTTTCATCGGTTCCGAGAGGACTGAGAGTCTGAGAGTCAAGTGTATTCCACAAAAGCATTCTTCTCCACCATCTCATGACGTGTGTTGTCTGTGAGGAATGGTAGACGTCGGTCTCCCCAGGTAAAGCTGAGCTTGGTTGGGTTCATGTCGTGATACCTAACCGCCCGCATGGAATCGCTTCCAAAACACTGGGGCAGGGCGACGTCCAGGTGACGTGCACCACCATCCTTACGCAACATGGACACGCAGTGAGCCGTGCAGGTCGCAAACCATCATCTCGGTCTGTCATGGATTGCCCTCTGCGCCCCTTGACTAGCCTGCATCCGTGCCTAATCACGAGAGGGCGAAGCATTGTATTGTCCAGTGAGGCCCCTGTGCCTCCGGCTAGGCATCAGGGAGATGGCACATCGGACTGACATGGAACATTGCAGCATGTGCATGTGCATGTGGATGCGAGCTTGCGTGACGTGGTGAGCCCCCTTGGCTTGGAAGCAGCGCCGTAATTGGGTCGGAGAGAACTAGACAGACAGGACGGGCACCGCAGCGGGTTTCTGTTTTTACGCGGTACGGAGTGGTATTTCTCCATGTGGCCTTTACCCCGGATTGCCTGTGGTAAGTAGTTAGTTTGACGCACTGAGTATGCATTCCAATGCAGGGCGCTGGGAGGAATTCTGAAATGGATGCCCAATGCCATGTATGTCCGTCTGGATCTTGGCGGATTGGGACGAGCTGGGCCCGGGCGTTGCGTGCCCTGGAGCGTGATGGTGCGGCAAGGTGCAACGTGGTGTTGTGGCATCTTGACCCGGCGGAACTGAATGAACAAGCTACCAGGCTGAGGCATCCAGGGAAAGGGGAGGTGGTGAGCACCACTTATTGAAGTTGCATTGATGTGGCGGCACATCAATCCATGATAATGGGCCGGCCGAGCGCTTTGGACTCGATTGGCCCACCGAGAAGAGCCAACATCATCAATCCCGGTTGACCCTTCTCCTCTTGTGTACATTTAAGCCCCCGTTCGTCCGTGGTCCTCGATCCTCTGTTGTAAGTGGTATTTAGTTTGAAAATCGTTCACGTTGCCTCCGACGCTCCCGGGCCATAGCTTCACTGAGCTGGGACAAGCACAAGCCTTTGCCCGCCCGTAACGAGACAGATATTTGTCCTCCCTCGTGCTTGAGCTTTGCTTAGTCGCTCGACCACCGGCGAGACTTGTAGAGGCTGCCAGCATGTAAGGAGGACCGATCGGCCGGGACCAACGAAGTAACCGAGACACCATCAGTAACGAGATGTCATAGTTGTAGGCTGCGCTGCGCAAATAACAGTCAATAGCGCTGCCTTTTCTCTGGCCTCGGGGTGTGCGTCGAGATAATAGTGAAAAGACAAGGGACCATTCTGACTTCATCGCAAAACGAAAAACAAAATAAGTGTATCAGAGCACTGGCCTTGCCAAGAAACAGAGTTGTGCCTCATCGAAAAAGGATCGGGAGGAGGAGATGGCTCCGACATTGATGTAGCAACTGTTCGTATATGTCGCTTTTTGGGGGGTCTATCTCTGGGATCTTGTTCTCATCGACGGGGATAACGCCCTCGTTGCCGCGCTAAGGGAATTTGTGACGTGTCCCGCAGCGGCAGCAGGACGTCGGCACCAAGGAGTAGTTGAATACTAACTTGTGACTGTTACCACCTCGAAAATTCCCCGACGTGAACCACAGCTGGATGGTATACCGTACGGAGTATGCGCGTGTAATCGGGGCGCTTCAGACGGAGTCCGAAAATGTGATAGAAGCAGGGCCGAGTCGGCCAGATACGCTGTATTCGTTTTGCCGTTTGCTATTTTTCCGTGTCTCCTTCAACGCTTGTTAGCTTCACGTCGGGGCTGCGTGCAACTTGTTGGCAAAGAACGGCCCCAAGTGAGTGCTCCGTAATGCGGATCCCAAAGCGCCACCGCGGGCCCCCTCTGTGCGGCCCGCCAACCGCCAAATCGCCCATGGAACGTGGACTCCCATTACCGAAGCGCCCACGACTCAGGAAGTACTCCGTAGTAGAACGGGAGTTTGTTTCCGGGGGTTGTGTCTGAAAAGTTTGAAGTTTGAACAGGAACATTGAGCTCGACAATGTGAAACAAAGCGGGCTTGCTAAGCAAGTTGGGGATGAGAGAGGGAAGGAACTGGACATGAACAAAGCTGTAGGGGAAGGTACGTGCCACTAGCTGCGTACAGTAGTTGACCAGACCAGCACCAGCTCCAGAACCTGAGCCGCTCGACCTCTTCCGAGCCGCACCTCAGGTCCTCGCGTCGTGGGTCATCGACCATTGACCGTGGACCACTCTTGTCATTCTGCATCTAAACCTCTCACGATGCTCGAATCCTCGTCACTTTTCGGGCTCCCACAAACAACTCTGACCTTTTGACCCATGGCTGTCCAACGAGGAAAGCCCAACATCGTCACTGCCCCCTCTTCTTCATCGTCCTAGGCACCCCGTCCTCCGTTCTTCGGCGCCATTGTGCGAATCACCATCAAGGCCCGCGTGCTCCCTCCGTGGATCAGTTGCGACAAATGACACAGCCTGGCCGTCCGCCATCCGTCCATTGGAAGTACTTGAGCACTTGAGCGCCATTGCTTATTGCAAAGCGTCGCCCTCGACGGAGCAGAACTGCCAGCCTCCAAAATTGATCCCCACAGCCCCTTTGCTTCACCGTGCTGCCAGGGAAGAGACAGCAAACATGGTCGACTGACGGAAAGGACAGACGAGTCGACGAGTTGTCGACCCAACCACCCCAGCCATTTTCGCTGCCCCATACCGGGGGCTGTGTGGCATTTGGCCGCCATTCTTGTTTTTCAGCTTTTGCTCTATTTTGTTTTATGCCGACCGGCTATTTCGTTCGCTCCTGCGACAGCCCTCCTCATTGACAGCATCTTCCATGTTGCTTGCCGCCTTATTTTTCATCCGGCATACTATGCGTGCGGCTGCCCGCGTGTACGCTTATATCGGATTTCTTGACGACATTCAACGGCCAGGCTCGTCAGGACCCACTCCCAGCCTCGCTTTCGACGTATAACCTAAGATTCGGCGAGGCTGATGGCAATAGACTGGGCAAAACAAAGCCCCTGTTATTGTTATGCTCGTCGTCTTTGAATCTCGCCCGAAGTTTGTTGTCATAATTTGGCTAGCCTTCCAAGATACGTCGCGTTGGCTGTGAGGATCCAACTATTTGTTGCTGAGCATGGCTGGCCTGGACGGCTCTGAGTCCGAGCCGCCGCCTGCAACCAGCGGGGGATGGGATCTCCTTCTCAGACACTTTGGTCCAACGACGGATGAGACCATGCTACTGGCATCAAAGCCTGATCAAATCCTCAACGCTGAGATGGAAGGGGAACATCTAAAGAATGTAGAATCTGGTGCTCAGCAGGACTCGAGGGGAAATGTCACCGGACTGCCCCGATCTCAGACCCTTAAAAGGCGGCTCTCCGAACAGAGGGTCAACTTAGAACCTCTGTTTCCAGATGAACGGAGAGCTGCTTCAGAGAACAGACGACGGCTTCAATCAAATAAAGAGCAAGCTACCATGCCGGACTTTTACCCCCGTTCGACTCTTCCTGGACCTCTTAGCTCCTCTAGCTCACTCGATGGTTATGATTCGGAGAATACCTCTTACATGCCAAGCGACCTCGGCCACTACGAACTATCTAACCATACCGTGGATCACGCACGCTTCGATTCAGAAAGTCGCTACGACGACGCAGCGCCATCAGACGTCCATTCCACTGAAGATGCGGGGTCCATAGCTGACTCGCAAGAAGAAGCCACGATCGCAGAAGAACTGACACAGAAATGGATTCTCAACTTGAGTATGTATTATCGAGATCATTCAAGACGTGAAAAATTTTTTGTCACATTCCGAGAGAAAGAACATCTTTGGAGAAGAGTCACCATCTCTCTCGATTATCGCCATACGCCGCCCAACTCTCTTGAGTGGCATTTGTCTCATACCAAGGAACAAAGAGAAAAGAACGCCAAGATATATTGGGCGATCCGTGAAAGCATCCCGCTCATCTCTTTTTTTGACACGGCAACAAATTTGAAACTTGAAACATTGAAAGGTCGGCTGCATATCCATGTCGTCGAGGACGGGAATGTAAGTTCACAAGGCTCTACGCAAACATGCGCCCTGCCTGAAATAACAAACAAGCTACATCTGACGAACTTTTAGGAGATTATTCATTTTCCTACTTCTGACCAAGTCAGGCACCTTGAATGCAAATTTGTTCGGGAAAGGGACGTTGACTTCGACTCGCATCTCTCAGGCTTTGTTTACAAAGTTCGCGTCAATGGACAAACCCTGATCAAGAAGGAAATTCCGAGTCCCGACACTGTTGACGAATTCTTGTACGAAGTCAACGTACTAGGTACTCTGCGAGACTCTCCGGACATCGTCCGACTCTGTGGTCTTGTTATTGATGACGACGACCAAATCAAGGGCCTCCTCCTCACTTATGCCGAACAAGGTTCCTTAATGGATGTGATATATGATAAATCCAAAGAACAGGGCATACCATGGCTGACGAGACAGAAATGGGCAAGACAAATCATTCGAGGTCTACGGGATATTCACGAGTCGGGATTTGTACAAGGGGACTTGACACTGAACAACATTGTAGTCAATGCTGCTGATGATGCCAAGATTATAGACATCAACAGAAGAGGATGCCCAGCAGGATGGGAGCCACCAGAACTGAAAATGCTCCTTGAATCCGATCACCATCTTTCCCTGTTCATTGGTGTCAAGTCTGACCTGTTCCAGTTGGGGATGGTGCTTTGGGCATTGGCCATGCTCGATGACGATCCGGAGAGTCGTGGCAGGCCACTGATGCTAGGGCCGGAGATTGATGTTCCAGACTGGTATCGTCAAATGACCGAGATGTGTCTCGATGCCGACCCCAAAAAAAGGCTGGCGCCGTCAGCACTCCTGAGGTTGTTCCCACCCGATATAGAGCGACGCGACAGACCGGCAGTTGCTACCGACGAGACAAGTTCTTTGGATGAATACAGCATTCATTACTCGTCTCAAACGGAGCCGCACATCGAAACAGTGCCACCGTCACATAGTTGGCAACGTTCTGGCAATACTTATGCCGATTCGAGCCTAGATATGTACGAACCGCGCTATCCTATGCGCGGTCCTTCCCCCCCTGGATCACCGCGCCGCTCCTCATATGGGTACGATTCGATAGGGAGAGTCTGCAGCAATACCTCTTGGGCAGCCAACAAAGATGTCCCGGCTTCCTATAGCGACATAGACAAGGGTGCTCCCCTGACGGAGCAAGTTGTCAATACGAAGCTGCGACCCGAAACGCCCCTCTCACTTGGCCAGTACGACATCGACAAAGCTGCTTTTCTCCCTGGAGACGCACTGGATACTATCGGCCTGAAACGGGCCACAGTGCCGACTCTGGATAGAAACCCCTCTCTGGGCGATGGATTGCAGACGATATCAACCCCAAAACTGACCAGACAAGAGACTGTTGTCCGCGACCCCACTAGACAGGACACAGCGAAAACTGGGCAATTCGAAGGCACATCCAAGATGGAGGACAAAGACTTGGCCGTGCCGTTACATGAGCGCATAGATGAACCGACAGATGATATGAAAAATACAACTGAGATGGTCAATATCCATGGCGTTGTAGACACGCATGAGATTAGACCCATGGGAAGCGACATGGACGACGGCGTCCTACTCGAAGGTCCTGGATGCGCTCCCACTACCCATGGTCTGTTCTTACAACGCGAGCTCCATTCTGAGGACCAAGGGGATATTCAGCAAAATGAAAGGCCTGCTGATGTCGTTGCAATGCAAATCAGCGCAGACATGGTGGAGTTGACGATGAATACAGAGAGGGAGAGATCTGCCGACAGCGTCACGTCAAGCAAACTACAGCCGCATTCTGTATACAAACCACTCGAGGAACCTCTATCACGAGGTTTTTTAAAACGCTCGTCGATACTCGATGCTATGCCTGAATCACATATACGGCAACGCCCCGCATCACTTCCCGCTGTATTGACAGGCATCAGCGCGGGTGTACCCGCCGGTTGCGACACGATCGAAGTGAGAAATATGATTAACCATGGCAATGATTCCGACGCGGCGGCACGACCTGCTACGGTGTAAGTATTACTTGTCCCGACAGCATAACTCCTATCACAACAAAGTGTCGGCGAGAACCAAAGAACAGCATCCCAGTGACCCCAGCAAAAGACGTTTGGAATGTTTTTTTTTTTTGAATTTCCACTTTATGTACTTTCTAGACAATAAGCAGGCGACTGGTGCCATTTCAGCTGATAATGCATGACATTGAAGCGCATGACGGATTGAGACCGATTTATGAAATGATGACCAGCATTTATTCGTATCAGCGAGGAGGAATTTTGCGGCGTGTTTCCAACTTTGTTGCATCTTCGAGGGCTTGGAGTGCTTGAAGCTTGATGAAGTATCAGCTTCCGGGAGTCATCAGTGTGTAGCGATAGCGTGGGTAATGTAGCATTTAGCATTGCCAATACAAGCTCCAGTCTCATGACGGTTTCTCACTTGATATTTGTAAACCCAGGTAGCTGAAAGCAGCCTTTATGGAGGCGTGCCTTGATCCTGTTGGTGGCACCCTCGACTAGTGTCGATGACAGAAACTCGGCACTTGCTGCAGTGACGCGTCACAGGGCTCATGGCGGTGATGCGCCCCTGGGTCTCTATGGATTGCCATTTTACGATACGGGTCTTTGTCTCAGAGTTCAGCAAGCGGCTTGTTGTTTCTGTTGGAGCGGAAGATGAACCTTTGACAGCGTGACTACCAACTTTTTTTTATTTTTATTTATTATTTATTTTTTATTTTGTTCAATCATGCGTCGCACCAGAAAGCCTTGGGAAGCGACTTAGGCCCGGTGACCACTGGTGCAAGTTGAGGGAAAATGGACAGTTGCCTGCTCTGCTCGTGCTGGGCACATGAGATATCTGGCTGCGGCCGAGGTACAGAGTACAGAAGCCGGGAGATTGCGCTTGCACTGCCGGGCTGGTTGGGGTGGCAAGGCAAGGTTTAGTTGTGGCTGGCTACGTAGTCGACGGGAATGGACGGAGGAAAGCCAGACAGGTACCGACCGGAGCAGTCAGACCAGTGGACATGTTGACGTGTGGGATTTTCAAGGCGATAGGATAATTAAGTCGGATGGATTGTTGAGGCGCTGGTGGCGCTGGTGGGGACGGGCAACGTCAGATCTGGCCACTCACAGAGCCGAGGAGGGCGTTTTCTTGAAGAGACAAAGTCTCGCGACAAAGCGGTGATGAATGCAAGCATCGTGGAAAGAAGGGAAGTAGCTTTTTTTTTTTTTTGCGTGCTGAAATTTCTCGGGGTGATAAATTTTTAACTGAATTGGTAATTTTAGGTCAGAGTCATCGCCACTACAAAAGGCAAGCGCAAGGAGTATACTCTTCGCATACATCTGAAAGCTTGCTGCTTATGGAAATTCGATGGAGTACATTCATGTACGTACATTCAACACTTGTTGGCCGGCTGCAGTCGCTTCTCCTGTCAGACTGAGGTGAAGCTTACAGACGGATTGAGTTCTTGCCGCAGTGATGCAGGGTGGTTCGACGCAGGGTCTACGGAGTAGTTAGTTGATTTGATCAATCGATCGATTGCTTGAACAGTACTGAGCACGGAGCACTCGACTCATCATGGTTTTGGTCCATCCAGGCTGAGGCTGAGAGAGGCAGACGGAGATGATGCAAACAGGACCACACCCCTCCCCTCCCGGCCCGCAGTTTCCCGAAGCACCGGCGAGGTGGAGCGCCTGGCAGCCCCTGTCGCCCAACCCATTTGACGCCAATTCAAGCAGACAAGTCTGCCAGTAAGAACGTTGTTCTCGTTGCTCTCGTCAGCTGCCGACCCACCTCCTTGCCAAAAACAGCAAGGGAGAAAAAAGTTGTTGGGGAAAAGGGTTGGGTTGGGCCGATCCCATTGCCACATAACCATGTGTTGCGCATGTGTGTACTCATCATACTCGACGCCGCCAACCGCGTCGACGACAAGGCGTGCTTGTGTGCTCGAATCTCGCATCGTGCTACGGAGTAGCCATGTGATGATGGCAGCATGGCCGATAGATGTGTACCGGCACATGTCGCCGCGGCAGGAGGGGTTGCTGATAGATGGATATGATGTTGTCCTATGCTCGGCTGACCGCGATATTTCGAGTATACCACATGACGCGCTTTGCCTTTGATCTCACCGCGTCCCGTTATTCCCCGGAGGCGGCAAAAAGAAGAAAGACGTTTTGCTAACAAACAGCACAATGGTTCAAACACGGACGACCCTAGCCGAAGGAAGCAGCTGGGCCTGGCTGGTGAAATTTTCTGACTTCCCATGAGTTCTCTACAGAAGCATATTGTAGAGAGCAACTTCTCCACGTCTTCCAAGGCCAACAACAACAAGCCATGTACACACAGAGTACGTACTACCAGTTTGTTCTGGAACCGGACTCGTTGCCATCACTGGTGCGCGTCGTGGCCCCTGGTTCTCTGCTGATTGTACTATTCCGTACAGAGTAGAACTTGCGCGTCTTTGGCTGTTAGACTTTTATTTTTTATCGTCATTTTTTTGGGGGACCGCCTCCGCCCCAACCATCCCCAGCACTTTCGGAACATGAGACGTACTGTCCTCTGTCGCACGCCCCTCGCCTTCGCCTCACGCCCCTCATAGACCCCAGTATCTATTCTTCCCTCTCCTTCATGCCCTTGGTTTTCTTTTTTATTTGAAGCCTCCTACCCTCATCCTCCTTCCTTGCGGATTTCCATCTTTCCATCATCCTTAATCCTCGTCGACCTGAACACTGTTCCTCTCACCACCCCGACTGTCCATGCATTCCTCTCACCAAGGGTTCTGTTGAGCTTATAAGAAACCCCAGTTTCCTTCGTGGGCGCGAGCATCTCACCCAAGTTGACGAGGAAATTTCAAACGACGAGGGCCTACGACACCGTTCTTGCGACAATGTCGTCCTCGTCTTCGGCTGTCGAGGCCAAGGCCTTCCCTGATGGCACCACCGACTACGTGCCTCTGAGAAGCAGAAAGACAGACCTCGGCAAGGTTCACATCTCGGATACACCCATGACTTGGTCAAACTGGCACAAGCACGTCAACTGGCTCAACACAACCTTCATCATTTTCATTCCCTTGGCCGGCTTTGTCGCTGCCTACTGGGTTCCCCTTCAGCTCTACACTGCCATCTTTGCCGTCATTTACTACTTCAACACGGGCATTGGTATTACAGCAGGTGAGTTTCACGCTGCCATGGAGGCAGCTTTTGGCCCCCTCAAGGCTTACCAGTAGACTAACGGCTTTTGAAGGTTATCACCGTCTTTGGTCTCACACCTCATACAGAGCTAGCACGCCCCTCAAAATCTACCTTGCCGCCGTTGGTGCTGGTGCTGTTGAAGGCTCTATCCGTTGGTGGTCCCGCGGCCACCGCGCTCACCACCGATACACCGACACCGAGAAGGATCCCTACTCCGTGCGCAAGGGTCTTCTCTACTCTCACCTGGGATGGATGGTCTTCAAGCAGAATCCCAAGCGCGCTGGCCGAACCGACATCACCGACCTCAACGAGGATCCCGTCGTTGTCTGGCAGCACCAGAACTACCTGAAGTGCGTCATCTTCATGGGACTCGTCTTTCCTACTTGCTTTTGCGGTCTCTTGTTCAACGATTGGCTCGGCGGGTTCGTCTATGCTGGTATTCTGCGTATTTGCTTCGTCCAGCAGGCTACTTTCTGTGTCAATTCTCTGGCCCACTGGCTCGGTGACCAACCCTTTGATGACCGCAACTCTCCTCGTGATCATTTCATTACTGCTCTTGTCACTCTCGGGGAGGGATACCACAATTTTCATCACGAGTTCCCGTCCGACTACCGGAACGCTATTGAGTGGTGGCAGTACGACCCTACCAAGTGGGCTATTTACGCATGGAAAATGCTTGGTCTCGCCTATGACCTCAAGCAGTTCCGAGCCAACGAAATCGAAAAGGGTCGTGTCCAGCAGCTGCAGAAGAAACTCGATCAGAAGCGAGCCACCCTTGACTGGGGTACTCCTCTCGAGCAGCTCCCTGTTATTAGCTGGGATGATTTTGTCGCGGAATCCAAGAATGGCAAGGGTCTAATTGCAGTCGCTGGTGTTATCCACGATGTGACAGACTTCATCAAGGACCACCCCGGTGGCAAGGCCCTCATCTCATCTGCTATCGGCAAAGACGCCACGTCCATTTTTAATGGTGGTGTCTACAACCACTCCAACGCCGCCCACAACCTCTTGTCCACCATGCGTGTTGGGGTCCTCCGTGGTGGATGCGAAGTCGAGATTTGGAAGCGCGCCCAGTTCGAGAACAAGGACGTTACATATATGAACGATTCCGCTGGCCAACGGATCCACCGCGCCGGCAGCCAGGTCACCAAGGTCTCTCAGCCCGTTGCCAGCGCGGATGCAGCCTAACCTGCTGCGCAAGAGTTGAAAAAGTAAAATAATGCTCGTCTACGAACCAAGTCCTTGAATTTCTAGCGTGGTAATACAGAGGGGAAAGGAGAGGAAGAATCATGCATCAAGATAAAAACTTCTAGCAAACGGGATCTGCAAATCATTGAACGGCGTTAAAGGGTGAGATCGAATTAACCATTTGTGAAGTATCGGTTGTGCCTGCCGAGTTGTAGGGCTCGCTGGCAACCCAAGAGACTGGAATAAGAACAGGGCTTGTCACGGGGAGGCGGTTTGCGTATAGATATCCTTCAGTGCAGGTGTATTGTGGTCCGCGACCCTTGCACTACTGGCCCCTTGAAATATATTTTATTGCGTAGGATTCATTTGGCTGGCTTCAACCGTGACATTATTCCTTGCCGTGTTATAGTTTTATGTTTTTCCAAAGTAGGAATGTGTGTCGTCTTCAATCATTGTGCTCACTGCTACTCCAAAGCAGCATTTGGCATATTTGCGTTGGCTCCATGGGGACGTCTTTTCTTCCATTACGGTCATGTGTGTTACCCTTCGCGATTTGCAATGTCATGACTTCCACCCGCGCGGAGCCAAGGTCCGAGTATTCATTGCCTCTCGAAAAAAGAGGGTATCAGCATCCCGGCAACAACATTGTCAAGGTGTCGCCATTCTCGCGACCATGACCAGCTCGGAGCTCTTGGCCCAGACCCCATCCGGCGTCTGTCTGTAGAACAACAGCCGCCCATCATCGCCAGTGCTCCCAAAAATCTGTCCATCGTCGTCAAAGCCCACCCTCCAGACGGGCGTCCTGTGACTATCGAGTCTTGAAATCTCCCTGTACGTATGGTGCACCTGGCCCGGTTGCCCGGACCACTGCCTCTCGCCCGCATTCCCCGACTTGGCGAGACTAGCGCTCAGCGTGGAGGGATGGAGATTGTGCTTCTCACCGGGCCCGTCCTTGGTCGGCGAGTCCCGGGAAGGGGAGGACGCGCGGCCCGTGGACTTGAGCAAGTCGCCGGCGGACCACGACTTGCCGTCGTTGCCGTCAAAGGGCGTGTCGACGCGGAAGACGCGCGCGTAGCCGTCCTGGCAGGCGGTGGCGACCATGTCGTACCCCCTGATGTTGCCCGGGGCCCAGGCCACGTCCCTCACGAGGCCGCGGTGCCCGTGGATCTCGGCGGCGAGGTAGAACTCCTTCTGCGTCTGGGCGACCCCGTAGGAAGCCGTGACGACGTCGCGCGACCTGTAGATTTTGACGGCGCTCATGCCGGCGACGACGAGGCCCAGGGCGTCGGCGCCCACGCCGGCCCGGAGCGCCGTGTAGCACGGCTCCGGGTTCGGGTCGAAGCGGACCTTGAAGGAGACCTCCTCGCCGCGGTTCGGCCTGTTGCATATGCTAAACTCGTCGATGGACGTGTACTCTGACAGGTTCTCGGGCTGGTCGTTCTCGTAGACGGTGAGGCGGCCGTCGGTCGCGAGGAGCGCGAGGTACGTGTGGCGCGTGTCCTCGTTGTGCTTCATGCTGAAGGAGCGGTAGGGCGCGCGCGTCGACCGCGTGTCGAAGGCCGGCCGGCCGGCGCCCGAGCGGGCGCAGAAGCGGCGGCCTGGCGCGGCCGAAGGGTCCTCGGCCCAGAGCCGGAACCAGCCCTCGATGCCGAGCGAGGCCACGAGGTTGGGGTATATCGTTGCGGGGAGCCATTGGAGCTGTCGGGGCCCAGGGAAGGATGTGAGTCTCGGGGAGCAGAAGACGGTCCGCAAAGACACCGTTGGGGGGACAGACGTACTTCTAGGACTTCGCCGCCGTGGGCCGTCCATGTGTCGCATAGCCGCCAGGTGCCGTCTTTATGTCTGTTGAAGACGCGGATCTTGCCGTCTACCGAGCCGGTGGCGCAACGGTCGCCGTAGGTGTTGAAGGCGATTGCTTGGACGAGGTCCTTGTGTCCGTGTTGGAGGTTCAGGTCGAAGGCTTGCTTCTCTGAAATGGGAGACGAGGGCCCCGAGGCGGCCATTGCGGCGGCCGGGAGGGCGGTGGTCAGCGACTGAGGGTGTCGTAGGCGTTGCGACCGACTACAGAGTGCTTGGGGGCGAGCGATGGGTTGCGGATGGAGGAGAGTCGGCGGTATCGCGGCGTCGTCGCGACTTCGCCAAGTGCTGTCTGTCATCTGACGACTGGCACAAGCTCGGCTCCACTTCAGTCTTGGCTTGAGCCTTGAGCATCCGGTGCTTGGCCTTGTCCGACACGATACGACGAGAGAAACGATACAACGCCGAACTCTCTCGACCTCGATGGAAAATTTCGGCCTCAGCCTCGGCCTTGGCGTTGCACCTACTTGCCTTTTCCATTCTGAAAGAGAAGGAACGAAACAGTCGACTCGCAGGTTCCTTCCCTCGTGACAGGTCCCCAACAGGGCATCGGAGGTTCGGTCTTTCCTGTACCGAGTCGACCGACGCAAGGGCCCGAAATGTGCTGCGCAACAACCAACTGCTGGACCCACCCGCCATGAAACTCGCAACCTCGAGTCTTGGAACTACGGAGCATCAACACATCGTTCTGCCAGGGCGCAACAATGGCCCATCTCGCCAATCCCCTCGCGACCACGTCGCAACTGTATCAGCACGCCTCCCTGTCGTCCCTCCCGCATGACCTCCAGGAATCCATCTTCATCGCCACGCAATGCCTCACGCAAGCCGCGGGCCAGCTTCTGGACCTGCCCCAGTCTGTGACTGCGCGAGCAAACGTCATTCTCGCCAGGTACTGGCTTGTAGATTCGCCAATGGCACACGAATTCAGCGTGCGACTGTTTCAGCCACCCGTCCACAACATGTTCAATCGCAGTAGCTGACACTTGCCAGGACGTCTCAGCGGCCGCAATCTATCTCGTCGCAAAAGTCGGCCCCGTTCCTCGATCGCCGCGTGACGTATCGAACGTATACGCATACCTTCTTTCTTCCAACTCTACGCTCTTCAAAACCGGAGATTTGCCGCGAAACGATCCTAAGACGTATTACCAATCTGACGCCGACTACTTCTCATTTCAGAACCGGCTTCTCGCGCTCGAGTCTCGTATTCTCTATGCCTTGACTTTCGACACCCATGCTGCACTCCCGTACGCCTTGGCCATAACTTACCTCCAAACAATGGATTTCCTATCTCAACCAAAATCAAGCATCTCTCGAAAGACGATTCAGCATCTCAACACGGCGCTGTTGAGTCCACAGATGCTATATCTTACCCACCAGCCGAATGCGCTTGCTACCGCCGCGATATACAATGCTGCTAGAGACGTCGGCGCCAAGATGCCAGATTGTGAGTGGTGGGAAGTCTTTGATGTGGACAGAGAGGAGTTGGGGTTCCTCGTAGTTGGTATGAGGAGTGTTGATGGGTGGTTTCGACGAAGAAAGGAGGAGACACCCGAATTGTTCAAGGGGATGCTGACCAGGAAGGCGATTGAGGGAGAGATAATGAAGAGGGGATTGCAGGTGAGTAACGACGGAGGCCAGCCAGATGAGGAGGCCGAGGTTATGAAGATTATGGACGGCCGATAGAAGACAATGCGTCTCATCATCTCAACTTGGCCATTAAATTACCCGGCAAAGACTCAAGCCCCAGGCATTTGGTCTCCTCAGCATCCGACGGACTCGAGCTCTATTTCATCCGCAGTCCCTGAACTGCGCTTCACAGGCCAAGGAGGACGACAGGAGAAAGAGATGTCTTTGAGCTTCCTGCTGCACGTAGGATGCGATTCACAGCCACAGGTGCAAGCCTGCGAACATGATGTTACAAGACTATCCTCGCATCGAAAAGAAGACGGGCTATTCAGTCAAATACTCTCGCTTGGCCAGCACTATGTAGGCACTGAACCTCAGGTGAATCTGGCTATTGCAGCTGGTGCCATTCGTGAGAGAGGTTCATCACATGCGATGCAGGGGTGGATGAGACTTCACCGCTCCTGACGAGCCCATTCAATCACGACTGGACCATTGCAGGTGGGAAAAAAGTCGGCGAGGAGTTGGGATTTGTGGGAATCATATACTATTGAATACGATATTTGATGACAGACACAATCTACTGCTGATCAGGGTCGACATCCCTGAACTCGGTTCCTATGGCAATCTCATCGTACCAAATCTGACGAAGGCCTTGGTTGCCCTTCATATAGCCATCGTCGTGCCAGCTGTTTGCATACAGTCCCACTCGGAACTGGAAAACGCTGTCGTCATCAACGGTTGTGGCAGTGTTGTATCTCTCAACAACCTTGTTTCCGTCCAGCCAGATTTTGAAGAAACCAGAGCCGTCACTGGCCCACTTGACCTGCATGATGACCTTGTGCCACTGTCCAGCAGTAATCTGGCCAAGGTTTCGAAGGGTGTCGATGTTTCGACCACAATTCGGCCGGCGATAGTGGCCGGTGATAATTCGGGAGAAGAGCTGGTCACCCTGCACCCACACCATGGTACTCGGCATGTAATCATCTCCGCCGCAGCCCGCACCCGGGCGGTTGGCAATGAACTGGGCAATGTTGTAGGACTGGTCTTGGAAATCCCAGTCGTCGGACAGACGAAAGGCGAAACCGTAAAAGGAAGAATCGCCGCGTCTGTAGCCGTAGTTGTGGTCGACCTCGGAGTGGTATCGGCCGTGATAGCTGGAGTCGTAGGTCTGCGTCATCTTGAGAGCAGAGCCACCCTTAGCCTCACCCTTGTAGACGACATTGGTGACCTGGTCGACAGTTCCCTTGTGCTCTTTGCGGACGTAGTCCCAGCCGCCAAGGGTGCCAGAGTCATAAAACGTTCTGGAGGCGAGAGACCCCGGGGAAGTGGCGAGAGCCATGACGACCATGTGTCTGGGGGAGATTAGCGAGGATATGGTGGCAGGGACAGAAGGAGCCTGGGATTGGGAAACTGGAAAGATGCTATTTACACGAGGATGAATCTCAAACAGTCGATGCCAAAAAGTCAGCTTTGCCTGGCCCTGCCCTGCCTTGCCTTGCGGTTGATTGATTCGCGGATTAATTGTGCATCTTGGACCGGGCCAATCCGACAGCCACGCCCGGTTTCTTCCTCCAAGCGGATGCCGGCCGGGCCCGGTGTGGGTCGTTGCCGTACTTGGAGTATTCCAAGGCTAGACGGCCATCTGAGCCGTCAAATGGTCTTTTTCCGACTGGCGTCCTGGCCAGCGCCGACACACGATGCGGCCAGACAGGCTTTGGGGCGTCAGCACAAGGCCGAAAGTCGAGGTTGGCGCACCGCAGAAGAGATGACCGGCGTACGTTGCGAGAGCTATTTCGCGCCGTCTCTACTTGAAACCAGTTAACCGCAGACCGCGTCGTATACGCAGCATGAGGGCGGCGACGTTCCAATGCCCAGCCCACATCCTGCGTGTTGTAATGACGCAGACACCACGCCGAGCAGCGAATCGATCCATGCGAGCTCATGGCCTCGGCGGCCTGCGTTGCACCTCCTCCAGGTCCTCTACTGCACCGAGAAGGTAGCATTTCCGAAACTATCGTGCCTTGACGAATATCATCTTGACGTGATTGAATCTTCAATTTGCCCTCTGGTGCTGAGATCGCCTTGTCTTTCGTCCGGCGGTACTATTTTGAGTGATGCCGGCTGCCACGGTTGACATACCGAGGCAGTTTCCAATTTATCGTCAGAGCCAGGTGAGCAGAGGACGTGCAAAGTATACACCATTGACCCCAAGAGCCGGCAACCAAACGAAACAGGGCCGTGGCTGTTGGACCTAAGGAAGGCTGAAGTTGCAAAATGTATTCACGAGTCGGTGGGCACGACGTGAGGCGGGGTGGATGCAGCAAAATGCAGACAAGGAAGGAAGGAACGAAGGAAGGAAGCACTAAAACCAAAAACGTATCCGCAGTTGTCGGTTGTTCCCTCTCCGACTGGCCAAGTCACAGCCTCGCACCCGCAAATGTACTTTGAGTACTCACAAACGATATACAGCACTCCGTATTACACTCCGTCTTACACTCCGTATCACTCGACACCACTGATTCCATTGCTCATCCGTTTAAGGGGCATTCATGGGTTTATTCCCAAGTTACCAAGGTCATCTGAGAAAAGACGTGTAGTCAGAATTCGACATCCGACAGGAGGCAGCTTGGACGACAAGGTGATACGGAGGGCGCGTTTTATCGACTTCGCCCCGAATGAAGATGACTTGTTTCGAAGTTCCATGTGGTTGGGAGTGGGATAGTGGATCTTTAAATTCCGGAGAAGCGTTCCAAGCGCCAACTTCCGCCAAGCTTTGCTACGCGGTCGATGGACGACCAAGGAGCGCTAGGTACAAGCCTATTCTCATCAGACCGGCATCTGAGCCACGAATTCAACAAGCCATACCAGGCAGTGCCCAAAGCCCGTCGAGCCAAGGTAAAACAGGGAGGGCGGTCCGAGGAAATATAAAGGGCCGAAACACAAACCATTGTTACACTCGAGGGCATGGTGATCGAAGGTGCCCTGGATTCCCGAATACTCAAGCCAGTGTGCTTCTCGACTGTTGGCAAAGCGGCCAGATAGATCATTCGCAAGGGTCAGGCATTGGCATCGCGAATTCGTGACAGACAGCGGACACTTCTGGCTTATTCAGGACAAGCACACAGGCAGCATGCTGGTTCGGATGAAGCTAGAAGGCGACGAAAATATTCGGGGGCAGGTTTTGGACTTTGGAGACGTCGCCATCCAATCGATTGCAAATCCCTTTGGCGTAACTGCACCACACCTCTTACGCCAGCGAATGCACTTCACTGACGGGTACAGCAAAACACGCAGCCAGAGCCAGTGCTTCCGGGTCACGACAGAGAATCGTGTTTCCCCGACGCCGCAATAATGCACTCATCGATGGGTCGGAACAAACCGCCGGGACTCATCATTTCCCTTTGAACACGGAATATTACAACGACCTTTTAATGACCCGACTCTCGAAATGCGAAAGGACCGGAGGTGTGAGAAAAGCCCGCACATCGATGTTGTTGGAGAGACACGGAGCCGCACGGCGTCGCGACTCGCGTCCAACTCTCTCCGTGTTGTTCGGGGACTTGTTGACCTGCAGTCCCCAGGATCAGGTGGTCCACATATGTATGCATGACCGGACCGCGACAACCCTCTCGTCGGGCACCCCTGCCCTGGCACCTGCAGGAGATTCACTGAGCCGAGGATGTGGATAAGCATTCCTTCTAGAACAAGTTCTGTTCATGTCGTCTTGTCCACTGACGTGTTGAGGCGTTATCGCTGGGCCCAAGGACCACGCATGAAACGGGCGGGCTGAATCGCAACCCACCAGACCCTTGATTCGCACGCAAGCGTTTGTCAAGTCGACTACTCGTGGCATGTTGACATGCGGATGGATGCTTCCGCCTTGAAAAGTGAGTTTTGTCTTCTGGGAACATCCGGGAATATGAAGGCGGAGCTCGGCACCAGCTTCATGGTTTCTTTTCCTGCTGGCATCTCCAAGGCAACCCGCCTTCTCGTTGGTGGCGACAGGAAAAGCCACACATGGAGATAGCCAGCATGGCGCGTCAGAAGCCGAGGAACCCCACGCAGCTAGTATGCATTACGCTTTTCCAATTATTACTTGATCGTGGGGCAGGACTCACTCAGGAGACTGGTACCCCGTATGATTTAGGCTGAAAAAAAGGCGAATTCGTCTCCGTGGTGGGTGCGATGTCCATAATGGACAAGACTCAAGAGCACCCTGTCCTGGTCTGGGCAGCGAGAAAATAACTCATGTCTTCTCTTGAGAGACGGACTTGTTCTAGCTCCAGGCAAGCCAACTGCTTCAGTGCCAGCGTCTTAGATGGCAACGGGACTTGGCGACGATTCCCTTGTCAGCCAAATCCCAGCCGACTCGCCGCCACCCACCTAGTCGCGTAGAAGCTTCTTGCGGTCTCAGGTTTCTCTTTACGCTTGTTGTGTACTCCGTACATGCCGACCACGGAGGAGAGGAGAGTCGAAAGTACTCCCTCGGCATTGATAGTGCGCTCATGAATTGTATAAAGAGGCCTGGCCTCCCCAGCATAGCCGCATGGCTCCACGATGTGGTGGTTTTCTGTTTATTTTCCTTCCCCTGGCTTTTCTAACCCTGTTCACCGTTGTTTCTTGCAATATATGCCTTTACGCTTCATACTCGAAACAACGACTTCGTCATTTTCTTTTCTTTCTAAACTGACGGCCCGCGATGCCTGGATCTGCTGCCTCCGCCTCCCCCGCCGCTGCCACAGCGGCCCAGGCTGCCGCTTCGTCGTTTGGCGACAACAAAGGCATCAAGTTCGAGATCAAGACGGGCAACAACCGCTGGGCCTGCACGCTGCAGGAGCGCTCTGCCTAGTATGTTTGCCCAGCACGTCATGCCATGGCTGCATGAGCGGGATAGGAAAGAGGAGGCATCTCAAGGCAGTTGTATCACGATTCAGTCGTGCTGACGTAGCCTTGACAGTGAGCGTACCAAGACTGCCCGTGCCAACTCGACCGACTCTGTCGAGTCCAGCGCCTCGTCCACTGTCTCGCACTGATCACACAAACCGCGACCCGTGGAGAAAACATTGTCCTGGGGTCTAATTGGGGATAAGGCTGGCTTGATTGATTGATTGATTGGCGTTGTCTGTTCTATGCATTTGTTTGTATCTACGCACCCTGGGTGAGCAATTAATTGCCTCGGACATGGATGGAGCGGATGTTAGAATGCGGCGCGTATGAACCTTGCTCTTTTCTGATCTAGCGACCGTAGCACTATGATAGATGATTGAAAAAGGTCAAAGGACCAGCAGCAGTTCGAATCGGACCTAGACCAGAAGTTCATGACCTCGCACGGGATATTCAGCACGGCTCCATGGATTTTGCCAGAACAGGTACTGCACCAGTGCACCCGCACATCGACTCCAAGCATCGTGCGTGTGGCGAGCGATCTGCCGTGGACTCAGTGTTGGGCAGAGACGCCGTCCACGTCCAGCGAAATTCCGACCACTCCGTAGATTGCTGAGAATGCGAGGCCCGCCTAGGTCCAAACCGTCGTCGGTCCGAGCATCCGGAGGGCTCCTGGCTCTGCGCTCAGAAATTGGGTTCGGAGCTCGAGGCAAAGGAATGCAAGTTGCGTCAGCGATGACCATGTCCGTTGTTGAGTGACGGACAGCCTCGGCGCTGGCGCTGGCGCTGCTCGCCTTGGTCAATTTCGGCCAGGGACGGCGTGGGAACTACGAAGACGAGATGACTCCGTAGATGTGTATCAGTAAAGCTCTGTGTAACTTGCTGACTCTTGACTCCTGATAGACTCGGACTCTCAGCCCCGACTTTGCGCGTCATTCTCCCCACACTCGAAGGCTCTCCTCGCTGTACGTGGTGCTGAGAAACGAAGAGCAAGACGGAAAGACTCCAAAGCCTCAGCAAAGACATGCCTCGACGATGGCTGTGCTACTCCGGAGTCCGTAACTACATGCTCAGCAGAATCATGGAGGGAAACTGCCGACCGCTGGCTGGTCATGTGACTCCCAATCAGGCAATTGAATGACCGCCTGGCCTGGAAGCACAGTGGCGAACAAGGACTACGCAAGCAAGTTGCCATCATGACATGTGGACTCATCAACAGGCTCCTTATCAAAGTTCCCTCCCCTTGAAACGTCTGACTAGAACGCATATTTGACCCAGTGAGGCCCTTGTTCTTTTTTTTTCTCTCCTTCTATTCGCTCCAGTAGATGCATGCTTACTGTCCTATCTGTGCCTGGTCTGGTCGCGGCTGACGACCTTTACCCCGCTGCTCGCAGCCCAGCGTCACTTTCCTTACGCTCAGTATCGAGGCCCAAAATGCCCGTCAACCATGTTGTGCTCGCCTCGGGCGCCGTCGTGGCCGTGTCGGTAGCTCTCGCTGCCGCCATGGCCATGTATGAGAACCCGGAATTACGACGGTACGCAGACGATATTCGACGCCGCATCGCTGTGGCCCTTCGCTCGTTGGGTGACGGCATCAACCCACCCGAGCGGGCCCCACGGTTCAACAGACCCGAGGATGCGGATGGCTTCCTGCAGTCGAGTCGTGGCGCCGGTGCAGAGCCCGGTGTCGACGCTGACGAGGCCACTCGTCGCCGACAACGCGAGGAGTTGCTGTATTGGAACTCGGTGCTGCTGAAGAAGAAGGAAGACGAATCCGCCCCCCGACTGCCGCCCGCTCTGCCTCTGGCCGAATCGTGGAGAGCCCGGACGGGAACCTGTGCGTCGTCATTTGATGATTTTCTTCGACAGGATGAGAATGCCGAACAAGGCACGTACGTCTTCAATACCGGAGCCGATATTCGCGATTCGCAGAGCAATCCTCGTCACCGGGCGCCAGCTGCCGCGCCTGCGGCAGCGCCTGCGGCAGCATCGGCGTCGCTCTATGCAAACCCCTTCGCCGACGAGCACTGTATTGCAAACGACCAAGCCGAGTACCTCTCCGCAGCGTATGCCCTCCCACCAAGACAAGAGCACATGTCAGATATCTACAGCGCAACGACCCGCGAGAACGACGACGTCCAATCTCGCACGTTGGACAGCTCTCCTGCACTTATTGAACTATCAGTCCCCGGTTTCGGGGAGCTCCATCAGCAGCTCTCGTCGGCGCCATCGCCACCACCAACACTCGAGCGACACCTCGCCCAGAATGAATACATGTCTGCTGGCCAGGACGACAGGCAAGATGCTTACGCCTCCATCCAGGCCTGGGCTCACGACTCTAGTCGGAATTTTTACTCGCCCCTGCCAGAGACGCCTGTTGCTCCGGTTTCTGAGCCAGAGATTGTCAGTGACGGGCAGTTGACGCCTACGGATTCGGTGTCCATCATAGGGTCAGGAGAAGATGCCGGCAACGACGGCAGACGGGAGAGACCATTTGACGTCATGAGTGAAAGCGAGGGCATGCTGACACCAGCCAGTTGGTCAGAGGTTGGGAGTGTTGTCAGCGAGACTGAAGGTCATGGCCACGACGGTGCGAATCTCTCTCTCCATGGGTAAAAGGGAAAAGGGCGCAAAGAAGGAAGGACAAACCTCCCCCAATGCCAAAAAAAAAAAAAAAAAATGGTTTCTAAACATGCGGCGTTTTGCCGTCATAGGTAATGCATTCAAGGCGTGGCGTGGCGTCTTTGGGAATTTTAAAGGGCACGTAACTGTAACCGGTAGCCTTTGCCCTTTTTCGACAAGGCCAGCTCGAAATTCGGCGCGCGTTCCTTGGATGTCTCGACTGGCAACATTGCACAAGAGAGAACAACATAGTACACTACACGCAGGTCAAATTTATGAAACGTATCACTGCCACGACAATGGAGAATACATGTCCTGCGAACGCGCCTTGTACAACCCCAAACCGCACTCCGTCGTGGTCAGTCTACCTACCGCTCGTCCTGGAGGCCCTCCACATACTCGGTGAACAAGTCATGGACAGTCCGTCCCGTCAGCTCCATCCAAAACTTGTGCTCGGCGTACTTTTCAATTCTCAACTTTTCATTCAGCGCCCTCACGAAGCCGTCACCAAGCGTCACCTCCAGATGGTTCAGAAAGTAGGCCGTGTGCTGGTAGCCTGCGTCCCAGTTGTGCGCGGGCTCCTTCTTCCAATGCGGCGGCGCCAGGTCGCAGTTCAGCCTCACCCAGTCGGCGATGCCCTCGATCAGGCCGCTGGGGCAGGTGCCGAAGCCGTTCCACTGCAGACAGTGGACGAGCTCATGGGTGATGACGCCGGTGATTTCTTGGGCGGTGCGGTCCCTGCTCGTGTTGAGGACGTGGTCAAGCGACAAGTGGATCTCCTTGTGGTCGCCGTCGAGCTCGATGCCGGTCGCGTAGGCCACGCCCGGCATGTCGCGGAGGATGAGGGTGACGGAGCGTGTGGGCGGCGCCGTGGTGGTGGGGGAGGCCGGGGAGGAGTAGAGGAGGCGGAGGACATTGCGGGCCGCGGTGGCGAGGGTTTCGGCCGGGTTGACGCAGTTGAGGGCGAGGTTGGCGCCGGGGTGGGTGAGCTGCCGGATCTCGAGGCGGAGCGTGGGGAGGGCGAAGTGCGAAGGCCCGGGGGGGCACGGGGGGCACGGGGGGCACGGCGGATGACATGGGGGTTTCTTGGGTTGTCTGGCGGGAGATGTGGTTGGGGACGAGGACGGAACGGGGGTCGTTTCGGGGTGGGGGGCCATGCCGGCTTGGTTGGGGCGTATTGAGGCGGCGGCGAGATGTCGTGATGCCTAGTCCTTGGAGTTGTTGCTACGCTCTGTCTAGGCTAGGGCGTCGATGAGAGAAGAAGACGAGGCGGAGTTGAATGATTGGCCGGTTTGCGCGGTAGATTCTGGGGGCTGGCAGCTGCCATCTATGAGGAGTGGCACATGTGTTTATGTCAATATATTGAGATGTATGATTCTTTAAATGTATTGATGTCGACGTTTTGAGGTGCGGGAGCGCAGGGCGCCATGTCAGGCACAGGCACTGGTGACTGGCGCGGTCAAGGTACCGGCCCCACATGCCAGCACCAAGTACCCGGGTGCCTAGGCACTTTAAGTACTTGCCTGGGTACCTAGGCATATGTAAGTACGTGCCTACCTGGTCATCGACGAAGCACCCCCCCCGCACGGGCTGTTACTCCAGGCGTCAACGGCCGCCGCAGCGCCGGCAGGTCCATGTCCATCGGTCGATCCATGATGAAGTCTCGAAACAACACACAGACATTGCCATCACAACACGGCAGCATCGACAGCCAGTCCTACCGTCCTCCAGTCCTGCGGTCCTGCGGCTGACAGCGCGACCTCGATTCGCACGACGTATTTATATTTCTCGCGCGGTTTGCCTCGCCAATTCCACGGTTACGCGGGCCTGACGACGACACGAGTCCGCAAGAAAAATAAACAAAACATCTCTGGCCGACTCGCACAACTCTGACGTTGATGGTCCAGGCCGGCGCGCCGCCATCGGATCGTATGTCATTCTCGCCTGTTTTCTTTCTTTTTCCTCTTTTTCCTACGTCTTCTTTCTTGTTTTCCCTTTCCCTCTCGGCCCCGTCGGGGAAACACGTTGAATAAATTGGCGGTTCCTTCGTGGTCTGGCGGGTAAATTAGCTGCCCCTCTTCGGCCTTCGGCTCCATCTCTGGCAAATATCGGCATATTGCCCAAGACTCTCATTACTGCTCGAGTGTCCCATCCCCAGGTACCCTATCTGCTGTGCTGAGCTACGGATCAATCACCTGGCTACGTGGCCGTCTCTTGAGAGGTGTTGACCCCCCCGCCGGGGTGTGTGGCCGGAATACCCTCACATCAGTCGCGCCCCCTCGTTTTGTTCCCCTGAACCCGCACGGTGCTGCCGCCAGAGCTCGCCATCAATGTGACGCTTCTTTGCCGCTAGATGCTTTTCGATTCTGACAATTTCCTTCCGGTAGACCTACTCATCTTTCGAAGCCACCCTACCTCTCCCTCGTCTCGTCCCCATTCCGAAAAGAGACAACAGGAAGGAAGCGCCTCTCATGGCCGACAAGCTCACGGAGGCGCAAGTCGCAGACCTGCTGACCATCCTCCGAAGCGACTCGTCTCTCGATGCCAGAGTCCAGTTCGTGACCGCCATCAAATCCGCCATCAAGCAACACAACGTGCCCGAGAGCTGCGTCGCCCAGTTGTTCGATGGCCTGCGCACCGCGTCGTCTGCCCAGCACGCCGCGCTCGTCAACGCCGGTTTCACCGCGCTCAACCACCTCTTGACCCGCCTATCTCGTCAGGATCCCAAGCTCCTCGCTCGTGAGGCTGCTCGCACGCTGCCGCTGGTAATCGAGAAGCTGGGCGACCAGAAGGACAAGTACCGGAGTCTGGCAATCCAGTCTCTCAACACCCTCTATGCCGCGTCGCCGGCTGACGTCGAGCGCTTTGTGCGCAACTCGGCCCTGGGCGGGAAGAATCCAAGGGCCAAAGAGGGCGGCATGCATTGGCTTTTGCAGGTGAATCCCGACTTCTCCTTCTACCCATACTCATTGCCGCACCTTCTGAATCTCTTTCTCATGTTGCTCCCTGATCTAACCCCTCTTTTCGTCTCTATTTCGCCTGCAGATGCATCAGGAACACGGTATGCCATTTCGAGGCTACGTTCCCATGCTCATGGAGCTTCTTGAAGATGCCGACGGCATGGTTCGAGACACTGCCAAGGCCACCGTCATTGACCTGTTCAAGTGAGCCCCGGCCCATCGCCCTCGTCATCTTCCAGTCCGCCATCGCCAACTCTAACGCTCAACTTAGGACAGCCCCCAACACGGCCAAGTCAGACCTGAAGCGACAACTGAAGAATTTCAAAGTTCGCCCTGCCATTGAGCAGGCCATTGTGAAAGCGCTTGCTCCCGCAGGTGGACGCCCAGAAACGCCAGCCGATTGCGCTCCATCACTATCGTCACAACCCAGCAGATCAACCTTTGTTGCCAGTGCTTCGTCTCTCGCGACCGAGCGGCCAATGACGCCCATGCCAGACGCCGCCGACGCAGTCGACCCGCAGTATGTCAACACCAACCGCGAGTTGGACGACATCTTCAAAGAAATGGCCTGGTTCTTCGACGGCAAGGAGACGGAACAGAACTGGCTGAAGCGGGAACAATCTATCAACACTTTACGGCGGCTCAACGCTGGCAACGCTGCCACCGATTTCCAGGACGTTTTCGTGAGCGGCCTTCGTGCCATGTTGGATGGTATTATCAAGACCATCAATTCACTGCGAACGAGTTTGTCAAAGGAGGGATGTGCTCTCATCCAGGAGATTGCCGTCTCGCTCGGCCCGGCCATGGATCCCATGGTGGAGTTGCTGATGCAGACACTGGTCAAGCTATCTGCAGGAACGAAGAAGATTAGCTCGCAGATGGCCAACGTGACGGTCAACACCATCATAAGCCGCGTCACCTACAATCAGCGTTTGATGCAACATATCTGGGGCGCCAGCCAGGACAAGAACGTTCAACCCAGGACGTACGCAACAGGCTGGCTTAAGACGGTACTGAAAAAAGAGGCTGGCCATAAGAGCCATATTGAGCACACGGGAGGTGTAGACTTGATGGAAAAATGCATCCGCAAAGGCTTGGGAGATGCTAACCCCGGCGTGCGGGAAAAGACGAGATCTGCATTCTGGGCCTTCTGGGGAGTCTTTCCCGCACGTGCGGATGCGTATGTTCCCCCTTCCCTTTGTGGTCGCAACAAAGCAGCTAACCGACTGGCAGCATCATGGCGGATCTCGACTCCACGGCTCAGAAGCTACTGAACAAGGACCCAAGCAACCCAAACTCTCCCAAGAAGACAGACGCACCGGCTCGGCCTGGTCTTGGGTTCTCTAGGAGCACTACGACTTCGAGCAAGACCAGCCTTCGAGAGGCGATGATGGCGCAGAAGAAGGCTATGGCTGTCAAGAATTTGCCAGCAAGACCCGGCTCGGCCATGGCTCATATCTCCTCGCCCGTCCGCACCATGTCGAACACGTCAACGCACTCTACGACTGCCACCAAATCAGCCGCTACGAGGACTCGCACCGAATCGACCCTGTCCGTCAACGCCGGAGGCATGTCGGTGGCTCCCATGCGGCCAGCACGCCATCGACCAGAAATGGCGGCTCGGCCGGCGACTGCTGGCCCTTATTCAACCCGTGACCGCTCTGGCCTGGACGCTGACAGCCCCGAGGGCATCAAGTCCAAGCGCGTCAACCCCAAGGCGCCCAAGGCTGTGACGCCCAAGAAGACACTGCCCAAGGCTCGCCCCGGCCATGCGTCTCACGCCAGCGACTCAAGCATACCCTCGCCAACTTTTCCATCCGCGCACAAGCGGGTTGCTTCCTCACGGGCCAGCCCTGTGCTGCTGAAGCCTTCGCAGACTTCGCCTGCCTCGTCCAGCAGAGCGGCTCCGGTGCACAACGAGAGTGAGCCGGCGCCGGCGCCGAACTTTGCCAGCCCGCAAGTCTCCGCGCCCGAGCAAGCCGCGGAGCCCCAGGAGCCGCCGGGAACAGCGACTCGGGAGAGCAAGCCGAGATGCCAAGACCAATCGCCGTCTCGTACACTCAAGGTTTATGAAGACCCGTTTACGGACAGCGCTCCGTCTGCAACGAAGCCGGCTTTTACTGTTCCTGTTCTGGAGGACAAGCCAGTGAATGAAGACGCAGCTAGGTTGCCCAAGCAAAACGGCGACTCGCCAATGCCGGACGTTTCGGACTCGCCGGAGAAGACTCGACAAAATTCCAAGCTGCTGGACAGTGGGATTACGAAAATCAAGAGCAAGAATCTCGAAGTTCACGGCTTTCGGAAGCTGCAATCTCTCATTCGCGACAGCAAGACCGTCTTGACGGATGAGAGGTTTGAGGCTCTCCTGTTGGGGCTTTTCCTGTATCTAGAGGATCCGCTGCCTGGAAATCCCGCCGAGAAGGTGCAGGACGTCAAGGCCCAGATCCTGTCCACCATCAAGCTCTTGCTGAGGAGGGAGCGGGATAACTTTCAACCTCACGTTTCCAAGGGCCTGGAGTCTCTGCTCGAGACGCGCGGCGCTTACGACACGCGAGCTCACGTGGTCAGTGGCCTGGAGCTTTTGGCCGACGAGCTCGTCACCATTGGAGACGGCTCCGAAATCGTGGCCGTCCTCACCCAGAGACTGGAAACGTGCACGGATGCCACGACACAAGGATGCCGCGCCCTGAGCATGGGGCTCCACGTCCTCAAGGAGATGCTCGACAAGCGGACCGAGTTTGTCCCCACGGACCGTGAACTGGCGCAGTTGACGGACTTGTCGAGTCGTTGCCTGGGGTCTGGCGACTCCGGAGTCCGCATGGACGCCGTCAAGTTCTGCGTGTCGTTGCACGACCGCGTGGGCGACGCCGGCTTCTGGGGCGCGTTCAAAGATGTCAAGGAGGACCCCAAGAGTCTCATCACGTATTATATTGTCAAGAAGCAGCGGGAGCAGGGTTCCGCCGCGTAGGGCGCCGTGACGCGTGGGCGATTGTGTATTCATCGAAAAGTGGGTCTTGCCACGGCGTTGTGTGTGTGTTTGTGGGTTGGGCGGTAGCTGGCGCCGTGTATGCACGTACTACTACGTACTTAATGTTACTCTGTAAATCGACACAATGACGGCACGTTTTGCCTGCCTGCTTGTTTGTATAGACACGTGGTGAAGAAGGAACGCGACGCAGACTGTCTCAAACACACGGGGGGCGGATGGGGGCTGCAAAAGACAGGAGCGCGGAGACGACACGACACGCACGCACTGCTGCACCTGCCCCGTGCTGGAATCGAACCAGTGATCTTGTCATTACTTGTGACACGCTTTACTACTGAGCCAACGGGGCTGTGGGCGATGCTGAAGTCGGCGGCGCGGGGGGCGCAAAAGGGAGTTCTGCTGCAGTCCAAGGGAGACAGACAGGCAGGAAGGGCGTTTCGCTGGGCGACAGGGCCTGGCCCTTGGACGTTGATATTGCAGTGATTTCGGCTCATGAACAGAGGTTTGCCGGTCGTGGCAGGCATTCTTTCAAAGAACAACGATTACATGTCACGTTGATGTGGTCATCGTCTCCTCGTAGTCTTTGATTGGCTGGCTATACATCTCGAGACAAAAACACTGTCAAACTTTCCACCCCCCTTTCATGCCCGTGCCCCAACAAGCTGCTTTGCGCACCTCGTACACCGAAACTTCTGCTCCTCGTGGAAAAGCCACCAAAGCACTACCGACTGTCTTCCGGCGAGCAGCGGAAGCAATACAGTATCGTCACGCAGGCAAAGAAAAAAAGAAATGCGACATCATGGCACCAAGACGCCTCCGAATCAAAGAGGAACAAAACCGTCAAAAGCAAGCATGAGTCTCGTCACGTCTCTTTATGCATGGGAGCTCCGCGAAACTTTTTCGAGAGCCGCACAATGAAACCAAAATTGCAACATGGATAACTATGCAGACAATATAGGGCTGTGACCTGCATGCGTGGTAGAGGCGAAGAGCAGGCGTAACGAGTCTTTCCACTGGCATGACGGCTGGAAGTCGTGTCACATGCTCGAGGCGCAGTCTTTCTGATTGCACCCCGACTGCTAACTGATGCCAAATACCAAAAGAAGAACAAGTCGCAGAAGAAACCGGCCAAGATCGAAGTCGCGACCGACAGAGTCGTTAGTAGGTTGAAGAAAGAAAGAAGGGGTGCCGATGCATCCTGCGCCCAACTTGAATATTGAAAAAAGGCGGTTGAGACGGCAGGGAAGCGGATATCATTGAAAAAGGGGACAAAGTATCAAACGCCCAGTTGTGAAGAACCCGCTCGCATTTGATGTCAAGAGGGAAGAAAAAAAAAAAAAAAGTCAAAGTGAGGTAGGTGGCGAGGCTGGGGGGACGAGGTTGAATTTTGTCCTTGTCCCCTCAGCTGGCAAACGACGTCTGTCATGAGTCGTCAAAGATTCTGTTGGTGTTCTCGATGACAAACTGAACCGCAATATTCTTGGCGTGCATATCCGTCATCTCGCGTTCAATGCTCAGGTCTCGCATAATGGTGGGCGCAAAAACGACCGCCAAGTTCTTCGGTGACATCTGCGCACACGTTTAGACTTTGCACAGTTACCAGGTTTGCATCGACGAGACAAGACCTACAAGATTCTCCGGCTCTCGCAAGGCGACGCGGTTAAGGTGGAACATGAGAAACTCCAAGCAGTCGCTATGCCTCTCTGGCATGGAGGCAAACGTCTTCCTGAGGTGGCTGCACCTCTCTGTCTCGTCGGCAATCGCTGTCCAGTTGTCAGCGTTGAGTAGCATGGCGAGACTGCACCGCGTGCAACGACTCACCGTTCGACTCCAGAACCCTTTCGTAGACATCAAATGTCAGCAGCGGAGTGGGCAGTTTTCGGAAGTACTGCTTCAGCACGCTGGTGACAGCAGTGATGTCCAGGTCTGGGTCAGAGATGTCAAAGTTTTCGTTCCTGTCAAAGCCGTCCTTGATCATGTTGACCTGGGAATTACCACCAGTCTTGCGGTAGATACCCTCCTGGTCCATACCTCGCAGCTCAACTTCTTCAATGCAGCGAGTCACCACGGCCGGAATCTGCCGGCGTTCGTACTCTGTTCGCTCCACCAGGTCGGATCCAAAGAGAACGGACGCCGGCTCGGCAGGCGCCGCCAGCGCCATGTTGTTGGCCGAGGCCGACTTTGGCATTGCGTTTTTCTTGCCAAAGAAGCCGAAGCCCTGTCGACCGGGATCCATGTGCTGCTGCTGCCTGCTCTGACCGTTTGGTCCGCTGGGGGCCGCAGACTCTACCTGGGTGACCGTCATGTTGTAGGGCAGACCGATGCTGTCTCCAGCCAGCCCCTGATGCTGCATCCTCTCGCGATCGTTCTGCTGGAAGGCGACTACGGCCCTGTTCACGCCCTTTGCCACGTTCTGTGCCACTGTCTTGGAGCCCTTCTTCCAGTTGAACTTTTTGACCTGGCCCTTCCTGACCTGCACCACCGTGGGGCCACTCTCGACAATGGGCTCTTCATCGCCAACCAGTGTAGTTCCAGTATTCAAGCTTGTAGCATCCAGGTTGATCGACGACCCCCCGCCAGACTTGGTAGGGCCATATATGCCCAATCCATTCGGCGGCTTGACGTCTCCAATCTGTGACTTGAAGCGCTCCTGAATTTGGTGCGTGAGATCGTTGTTCATGTCTGCTAGTTGCGCATTCTTGGATGACAGTTGCTCAAACTCCATGAGTGCACGGTCTCTGTCCGCCGCGGCCTGGTTCTTCTCCTCCACCAGCTGGTCTCGTTCCTGGTGAAGCTTCTCAATGGCTTCAGACATGCTCTCTTTGACGGCATCCAGCTTGTTCACAAAGTCCTTGATGGCCGAATCCTCCAGCTGTCGAGGATCGACCGGCGTCTTCGTCTCTTTAGCGCGTTCGACATAGCCGGCGAGAACTTCCAGCTGACGAATCATAATCTCAGTCTGCGTGTCAAGCACAGATACCGTCTTCCGCTTTTCGACGAGCTTCTTGTGGAGGCTCTTGAGGTCCTTTTCAGTGTTGAACTGCCTCTCGAGTTCAGCCACACGCTGCTCGGAATTTCTCAGCTGACGCTTGAGGATAACAGCATCATCGGGCGAGGTCAAGGAGATGGGGCTGCTGATATCGTGTGACATGCCAGAATAATCATCGCCCATAGGGGTCTTGGGCCACCTGGGCGACGTGGTTTCGCTGATACTTCGGGCATGACCGATTCTCCCGGAACTGGGATGACCGCCCTCCACGCTGCCGGTGCGACCGTGACGCACTGCGTTGGAGACTCGTCGAAGAATAGAGGAAGAGCCTTCATCAGTACCCAAGATTCTGGCCATGTCTTCGTCCATGCTGAAGTCCCCTCCATTACTATACCTAGGCAGCTTGGGGGAGACCTTGGGTTCGGATGGATCATTTGAACTCTTTCTCGGTATTTGAGCTTGATCAGCGGGCGGCGGCGGCGGCACGGTTCGAGGCTGCGTGCAAGAGTCGCTCAAATTGTTTTGGTCTGGTTGACCAGACCGAGAACTACGTTGTCCGACAGCTGAGGCAAAACAACATGTCAGTGCCAGTCCAACGAAAGAGTGGTTCCTCGAGGTTATTAGTACGTACAGTTAATGCTCGCCGACGCGGGTAGTTCCTTTCGTGTAATGGCCTTGTTGGTATCTGAACGAGAGCCACTTCTTGCGCCATCCGTGTCTTCGGACGTGCGAGATTCATTGGCTCTGCCGGCCTCGGACAGGTTCGAGTGGCCATCCTTTCGCGCAACACCATTCGAAGTCTTTCCAGAAGCACTCTCGTGCGGAGCAGACGAGTGTGAACTATTGCTGCGAGTCGACAGCCCCTTCTTCGTCAACGGGGCATCCTGAAGCTTGAACTCATCGCCAGATACAGAAGCTTGACGCTGGCCTGGTTCGGCATTTTTGCTGAATTTGCCAGACTTGAGGCGTGCTACATCGAGATCCGAGGACGGCTGCCGTCCTTTTTCTTGAAATGCGATGTGAGGAGTGGATGCCTGCGAGTCGTCTCGCTTGTCAGACCCCGACCGCCTCGGAACACTAAAATAGTCTCTCTCCTTTCGTCTGCCGTTCTCGGCTGCATATTCGGATCCAGACCTTGGTGCAGCGCTCTGGGCCGGGCTGGGGTCCAGAGCCACGGGTATGAAGAAACTTTCGGGTCCCTCTTCGAGTCCTGGGTTCGGGCTCTGATAAATGGACGAGTTGCGGTTCTTTCGGTAGGTAGTGGCGGGCAGGCTAAGTCCTTCAGCCTTGCCAGTGGTGTCTGATCTCTCTGGTGAGCGAGCAGGTCTTGAGCTTCCCCGTGGTGAAGATCCATTGTGTCTATGCGCCACACGAGGGCGTGGGGAGAGTTCAGTGGGCGTGTCAGAGTCGGGATCGACGCGGTCATTTGAAAAGGCGTTTGGAGGAATCGCGCTGGGTGGGAGAGCGGGAAGGGATTTTTCGGTTATCATGGGTGAGTTTTCTTTGTCTCTAGATTTGGCAGCAGAGGTTGCCTTTGATTTCTTCCTCCGCCTGGCCATGAGAGTCTCGTGGCAACCCATACAGAAAATGCCTTGTGAAGTCCTTGCATACCGCAAATTTTCGATTTTTCTCTTGCAGTTACGGCATCGAAAGCAGGTTGCGCAAAATGCTTGTTCTCCAGTCAAGATGGCAAGATCTTCTATCTTGTTACCACAAGCGCTACAGCTGTAGGTGCAATTATTGCAAATGAGTGAACCGTCGCCAAGGAGTAAAAGGTTCGCGTCCGAGTCGAGAAGAGTGCCGCAGGTATGGCAGCGAAAACAGTCGAGATGCCATCGAAGTCCAGCTAGAAATCGAGCAGCAGTCAGCTCAGCAATTCACTTGCCAGTCCCCAAACACACACACACACGAATTGAATATGACGCTCAGAGCAGGGAGCGAACAACAGCAAATTGGGGGGATGACACAGTGCAAACTCAAGCTTGCGCATGTAATTGGGAACGCATTGCATCGTGAACATACCCAACTCGAATGCCTTGCCTTCCTCTAGAATCTGCACCAGAAGCGCTCTTTGTCAGTATTGGACTGTCAATAGACGTGGACAGGGCGAGAGCAATGGGGGCGGAGAGTAAAAACTCGGTCTAAGGAAGGGCACATACCTCTCCGCAGCCCTTGCAAGGGAAAACATCGTCATTGTCCAGAGGACTTTCCATGTATTCATCCACTATGGCCGTCATGGCGAAAGAATGCGGCACACAGGGCCGTTCTGCGCCAGGAGACCTGTCACAATATGTCGATGTCGAGGGGCGATCGGCGAGGAGCGGGCTCGTGGAACAGGTTCGTGGAGGCGGACGACTCCAAGCGCTCAGAATGCCATGAAGAGAACCGCTTCTACCGAGCAGTTGCGGTGCAACGAATCCAAAGAGCAATGGTGACAGCAAGAAGGAGGGACGACAGGATCCAACCCGGACGGCGGAGGAGGGGAGCAGAAGAAGAAAAGTCTCGCTGCTTGTACAAGGGTTGCGGCGCCGCTAAAGGGGGGGGGATGGAGGAGAAGGCTCAGGGTTGGGAGTGGCCGCGTGCGAGAGGAGCGAGTGGCGTTGCCAGGGGTTCGTTCAACAACAGACAAATCGAACAGGAGACGCGGAGGAGGACCCGGTACGTCGAGCGTTGCCTACCTCGCCTGGGTACCAAGTATAAGTACTTGACCCAGGCACCTAGAGCTTCCCAGGTTGACCGGCATGCACCAGAGAGCCGTCCCTGGCGTGATCGCTGGCTCCCCCCCGGGCGCCCCTTTTATTGCTGGCCGTTCCCTCCGAATCTTCAGTGTTCCGGCTTCATGCACGCACCCAGGCTTCACGTCACAAGATGGGAACCCAGCCCGGCCTCCTTGCTCTGTTTAGTCTACTCCGTACTTGGGGCACTCTGTTTTGTTTTGTCTATATTTTTCTTGCCTGCAGCGCAAGTCGCTTTGCTGCATGCGCCTCGTGGTTCGATAGAGATGGCGCACATTGCGAATACCAGTACTCGGCTCCGTGAGTACTCAAGTATCCACGGGCGAGTGGACCGCCGGGGCAGGCCAGGCACCACCCGGTACCTGTACATGTTGGACATGTTGGCGTTGGCAGTACCTGAGCAGACTACGGAGTACAGTACCCGGGTACCTCCCGCGTCTACGGAGTACTTAAGTAAAGTACCTGCTTAATTAGGTACCTGGGCTCGGTGCGGATTGAGCAGCATTGAAGGGGCTACTCGTAATAACGCCCAGCGAGAGGGAGCACTGGGCTCGAAGTCTCCTTTTCATCAGGGTTAGACGGCCAGGTTGACTCGGCAGAACAGGTCACAGGAGATGTGGAAGCTGCTCAACCGACTTTGGAAGCAACGATAACCCATGACCTCCAAGTACCTGCTCAGTACTTGCTTAAGTAAGTACTTAAAGTACCTACAGTAGGTCGTCGAAGGGATCGTGTCGGCCTCGGCGGCGAAATCGGCGCACCAGTGGACGGCATGGCATGGAATCAGAGTCTGCCTGCCTGCCTGCCTGCCCTGCCCTGCCTTGCCTTGCCTTGCCTTGCCTGGGTTCTAACTAACTACCTTGCACCCCGTAATAGAATAGTAAACAAGACTGGTATTAATACGGCTCATCGGTCAGAGAAAGGTCGAGTACCGAGTTTGCATTGCAGCCAAGGCAAAGGGCCCAAGGTGCTGACGTATGCGCCAAGACAGGCACAGCACGTCCGTAAGTCGCTCGTCGTGCTTCAGATGTCAGCATGCCGTCGTGGGCGGTTTGAGGTAGACCTGCCCTGGCTCATTCAATTATTGATGGCTGAGCACCGCTTGCCTTCCTCCGACTGGAGTAGTGGTATTGGAGTCTGGTTGGAGTCGGCCGGCCCATCCGCTTCTTCGCAGTCGACGACGCTTGTTGGTTGCGTACCAGCCATCTATTATATCTATTTCTCCCAACTGCACGCCAAGTAGGCCAGAGTCAAGTCGAGGCTTTTACTATTGATCAACCCGCTGAAGGAATGAAACGGTCTGAACTTTGCCACGACGGAGCGCAATGGGAGAGGAGAGTCCCTTGCTCACGCGCCAGCCGATGCGTCGGTAAACCCTTGTCGTTCTTGGCAGCACTACTCACCATCCGGTCGGGTCGGAATATTCAAGCCATCCATGGGTGAGGACAAAGTTTGACGGCTGCCCCGAGAGCGCGCCCTTTGCTTGGCCCTTGTGCTTTGTGACGATGGAGGCTGACGCTGATTGATGGCTGATGGCTGATGTTGGCCCGGCGCAGACGAGACCAGTTGACGTGTTCATCTGCGGACTACCAATACCAATATGCTGCCCGTGCCAGCCGACGACGGAGGACATTGTTCCATGCCCAGAATTGCGGTTAAATCACCTGCCGCGTGTCCGAGCAACCTCGTGCCCACGGCTATATTTCGCCCACTCGTATAGACTCGGCAGATGATGAACAAACGCGCCGAGTACGTACATAACTACAATGGGGATGGGGCCCGCGGCTGGCCCAGGGGTTGATTAGCTGCATGGGACGGAATCTTGCGTGGGCACTCTGATAACCACTCGGTAGGCATTTGTTGGAGTATCTAAGCGGACGGGGTAATATTACTCACACATGTGCCATACCAAACACGGAGTACTTGCCGCGGGACAAGACTCGACAACACGGATGGTCCAAGTACTTGACCTCCTAGGTGCCGATGCCGCTCCTCAGTTCACAGACAACCCGGTGCCCGTCGCTGCCAACTTGTCAACCCATCATCGGCGTGGCACCGTCTTCCATCATGGTGGAACCGAGTGGCGTGGCTTGTGGAGGCGGATAAAGGGGGCCAACTGGTATTCTGACACCAGACAACCAGACCAGCGACCCCAAAGCCCCAGGGGCCGGCACTGCGGCGTGTACTCGCTCACTTACAAATAGGTACGCAGACGACTGCCACTGTCATGCACGATTCACGACATGGCAACCGGGAGTTGCCACCGAATCGTCAGAACGTGGACCTTGCATGTCCGGGACTTCTCATGCAGTTCGGCAGCGGTGGGTTGATGACACACGTACGGAGTACGTAGGCACAGTCTCCAGCAAGGGATATTTATTAGATTGACGACTACCGGCCCGTCTACCAGGAAGATGGATCATCACGAGCAAAGGCTGGATGGAGGCCACGACTCGCCCATCCCACATGGTGAATAAGGGACAGGATACCACTACCGAATCACAGCTGGCCCGCCTATACAAGGCTGGTCGCAACCGCTCGTGCCAAAAAATGTCCAGGTTTGCCCGCAGTCGTCAGCCGCATGTCCATGGAGACCCTTGGTCAGGGGTAAGAGCAGCCATCGGCCAGGGGGTCGAGCGGAACCTGGCCTGGCACCGCTTCCCAACTCCCGGCGACATGGCTGGCATCGATTTAGTTAGTATCTCACCTGGCCTGGCCCCTCGCCGCATCGGCTTGCTCCACTTGGGCTGGTGTTTCATCTTCATGGGCCTCCAAAGGGCGAAACAGGGAGGGATGAGAGTGTAGATGACCCGACCATTGCTCGCCTACCTGAGCTGACCTGACCACTATAGTTGACCTAACCTGACTATTACGATAGAGGGATAAAGAGGCTTAATAAATTTTAATTAGTTAGATTTTCTTTAAGAAATTTATTCTTAGTAAAGTAAAAAATAAAGCAAAATAAGTTTTAATTAGGCAGAAAATTATTATAAAATATAATTAAATTATATAGAATATTTATAAAAAGTAAGTCTAGAAATTTTAATATATTAGCTATAGCTCTCTTTTAAAAAAATTTTTTCTTTATATTTTACCTTTTTATTAAACTAAAGCTATACTATTAAAATAATATTATATTATAAAGAATTTATAAGTATTCTCTTTAGAATTTATTCTAAATATACTTAGAATTAACTTTAATTAAATTCTAAACTAGAAAGTATTTTAGTAGTATATAAGTAAAGAGAAAAGTAGATATTAGCTTAGTCTCTCTAACTATAAATTTAATATATAAAGTAATTTTATTATTAAAGTTAGTAAGATTTTTTGCTATATAAATATAGAGAATAGCTATATATATTATATTATAAGTTAGAATTTAATTAAAATTAATTATTATTTAATTTAGGTTTAATACTAATACTCTATAAGATATATACTTAAATATATACTTTTTTTTAACTTATTTATTAAAGAAATATCTTATTATAATATATAAAGTAGAGGTATTATAGTTAAGTACTAGTACTCTCTCTTTTACTAATAACTAAGTAGCTATTTATATATTAATTAATAATTAATTTATATTAAATTTTAACTTTATACTAATTAACTTATATATAAAGTTCTACTAAAACTTAAAGAAACTAGTACTTAGTAAAAATATAAATCTCTATATACTTATAAAGTTATCTTAAAATTACTAGATATTAACTAAGCTTAAAGTGCTTTATAAAGAGAATAGTAAAGTAAGTAATTTATAATTAAATTATAATTAATTCTAGCTAGATTTTAATAGAATTTTATAATAGTTTAATACTAATACTATATAAGTTACTACTTACTTTATACTAAGCGTAAAATATAATTATTATAATATATAGTTAAGCTCTTACTTACTACTAAAATAGTAAAAAGGCTGCTAAGTTTAGAATTAGTACTACTACTTAGAAGTAGGCAAAAAAGCTATAGTATATTATAAGTAGTATTTAGAACTAATTTAGAATTAATTATTACTAAATTCTAACTATCTCTAAATATAAAATCTTTCTAAAGTAAAATTAACTTAAAAAATATTATTAATAAGACTTATTTATATACTTCTTCTTCTAGTAATATAGATAGAAAGCTTAGTAGTAGTACTTATAATAATATTTTATAACTTAGCAAATTTTTTTTTTAAAAAAAAAATTAGTATTATAAAATAAATAAATACTCTAGAAATATTACTAGCTTTTTTTAGTTAATAAAATAAAATTTTTATTTAAAGTATAAATATTTAATTAAACTCTTATAATTATAATTAAATTTAGTAAAATAAATTTATTATTTAATATATAACTATATATAAATTTAGTAAAATAAATTTATTATTTAATAGTCTTTATAGTAAATTCTAGTTATTTTCTTATATAATTTAAGCTTATATCTTTAAAGTTTCTAACTTTAATTAAGTTTTTTATTCTTTATCTTTTTATTAAGTTTCTCTTTCTATAGCTTTAGCTTTAGCTTAAATTTATACTATATTTACTTATTTTTTCTATAATTTAAGAAGATTTTAGCTTTATATTTTAATAGCTAAATAGTATAAATTTTAATACAAGTTATTAGTACTAAATATAATTAGTAAGTTAATAATAAATCTAGTATAAATAAATTCTTCTACCTTCTCTATTAAGATTGCCTTTATTATTATTATTAAAATTACCTTTATTATTAAGGCATACTACTAAATAAAATGCTATAATTAAATATACCTTTTATATTATTAAGAAAACTAAAGTTATCTTTAGAATAATCTTAAAAGATAGCTTTAGAAGGTACTAAACTAGCTAATCTTTTCTAGCTAGAACTTTAAAGAGAGTTAAAACTAGAATTATTCTCTAAGTTATTAAACTCTAAATAATTTTACTATTATTTTTATTTTAAAATAAAGTTAGTAGATATATAATTATTAAACTAAGAAAATACTATACTATACTTTTTATAGCCTTTTAGTTTATAAATCTACTTTATAACTTAGTATCTTAATATAATAATAAAATTTATAAGTAATACTTAGTAGTATTTTATTATAATAAATCTTAATTATATATTTAATAAGCTATAATTATATAATATAAAGAGATATATCTACTAGTCTATTTATATAATGCTTTATATAATATTTTAATAGTATTAGTTATAGCTAGTAAAGAATTCTAATCTTAAGATAATATTAATAATATATTATAGTAAAGTCTAGAATAAATTACTAGATAATATTTATATTAAACTTAAGTAGATAACTCTAGCTATTACTCTATATTTTATTAGTATTAAAATTAAATTAAAATGCATTTAGAATTAATTCTATAAACTTTTAATTAAATTATATAATTAATTATATTAAGATAAAGAAGTAGCTTTTATTAAAGTTAAAAGCTATTTTTACTTACTATTAAGCTTATTATTATTATATAAGTAATACTTTTCTATGCTTCTTTTAAAGTATATATAATAAAAGCAAATATAATTTTACGCTTGCTATTTCTAGTCTTAGCATAATAAATTAATATCTTTCTTTAAATATAGCTCTAGACTTAACTTTATAAGTATATACTAATATTATAGTAATATATATATACTATAACTTACTTTATATATATTACTAATCTTAATTAATTATTATGCTAATAAGGCTTAATATACTTTTATTATAGTTAGCTTATTAGTATTAAAGGTATTTCTATTATATTAAAATATTAAACTTTTCCTTAAAGAGCTTAAAAACAGTAGAAAACATATAATAATATATATTAACTAATTTACTATTTGTAAATACTCTTATTAATAGAATTGCTAATATATAATTACGTTAGTAATGTAAATTAATATATATATTAAATACCCTAGATAGCTATAAAGCTATATAACTAGTACATCTTCTTCTTATATTAGGCCTAGAAAACCCTTTAGTAGGAAGAAAAACCCTGCCTGCTTCTGTTTTTGCTCCCTAGAGCGGCTCTAGCTCTATGCCAGCTAGGATCTGCCTGTCTTCTGCGCGTGTATAAATATTGCTAGCTTTGCTAGCTGTGTTCTAGAGGGGCTAATAACCCCTAAAAAACTAAGTCTACCTCTAGCTCTATGCTGGGGCTATACTGCTCCTGTTTATTCTCCTGCTATATTCTCTGGCCTTTAATTGTCCCCTCTCCCTAGGGACGCAACCTATCTCTGCGCAGTATGTTGTCTGTTGCTGTCTTAGAGGTAGGCTAGTCTAGCTCTAGGCTGTTATATAACTACTAGCGTAAATATCTAGTGTTTAGTTGCAACAGCTTGTGTAGTTAGATTTACCTTACTTCTATCTTGTGCGTAAATTACCTCTTAGCTTTACAGCTAGCTATAGCCTAACTCTAGCTTTACGCTATATAATTTAGTAATATTTTAGTTTACTTATTAAATACTAAAGTAATAGTAGTTATAACTTACTATATATTATTTTTCTTTAAAAATTATTTATAAAAAAAGAATACTCTTTACTATATCTTAAAGTATTATTACTATTAATAATACTATAAATTTAATTATAGTAATTAATAAATTCTAAATTTACTATACTATAAAAGTAGTTATTATATTAATTAACTATATATA